ATAAATCACATTTGAGACATACAGTACTTTTTTTCTTTTTTGAAAATTGCCTACCGACGATTAAAGCTTTACACTGCCGGTCTGGGATGGGCTCGGAATAAAATATGGAAGATAAAATATCTTAGGAATTTGTCTGTTGTTAGTGCTAAAAAATTTCTGGGCTCCACCATTTTGGACTTGTCTAAACCCACGATAGTAGGGCTCTCTTAGTGTCCATAGAGAGAAAAAATTATAAAATTTGTTGTCTGTTTCAGTTAATATGTAAAATCGCGATGAAAAAACAAGCATTCATTGGGATCTTCCCTGCCTCGTAAGCACTCGGGTAAGTTATTTTTTTGCTGTTTGTTTATTATTTAATGGTCATTTAGCAATCGCGCCAATCAATCCTCCGTGAAGATATTAATATGAATAATATCTAATTATAAATTATTTGCATTAAATTACTCAAAATAAAAGCCTAAAAACCGCCAGAGCTTTTAAGGCTACTACCACAAAATACTTAATCTATATATATATANGTAAGCAGGTTTTTTATTAAAGAGAACGAAAGTAATACTAATCTTCATTCACATACCACGTATCTATGAAATTTTCATTAATTTTGAAGTAAAATTGATTATCAGTCTCAACTTTAACGATCGTAAAAGCTTGCTGAAATTTAGAATTAAACAAAGAAAAATAAATAGTTGTAGAACCTATCTATACACATTCAGATGGTGTTTATCAGCGGATAATGTATTAAATTGATCAATTGGCTAAGGTCAGCAGCTGAATTTATTACAATATCAACAATAAAATAAGAAAAAATATTAAATTGAGTAAATTTTCATGTATTGTAAGATAACGATCGAAAAAAATTGAAAAACTTCCTATTCTAACTGCTCCATTTCTATAGAACAGCTTCAACTTCGGAATAGGATGAAAAGCGTCGATCTTTCAACATCTTTAATCTTGCATCCATTGACTGTTTGCGAAGAAAAGTGGATTTTATCTTAAATCTTTCCAGATATTATAAGCTTAAGTAGATACAGTCAAACCTCTCTAATCCGCACTCACAAGATCAAAGAATTGTGTGGATTATTGAGGTTGTAGGATTATTGAAACATTACTCTTAAAGGGTTTAAATTGATTTATTAAAAACGTCAGAAATCATATTGTTTTTATGTCAACTATTCGTTTTTCGACGTCTGCTTTTGAAGATAATGCCCGATTTAACAAAGATTGCTCCTTTTTCTTGATAAAACGAAATTTTAATGCTTCACTAAAGGCAATTATATTTTCTTCTTTTCCCTCTTCTTTCACTTTTTTCTCATTGTCTCGTTCATTACTTCAGATTCATTATTGTAATAAACTATCTTCCCAATCTCAGGAACAATTTTCTGTTGCAACTGTTCCTTTAACATTTCTGTTGTGACATTTGTCAAACTCAATGGGTTTATACTATAAACGCACACAGCTTTGTGGCCTTTCACAGGACTGTTTCTGATAGCCCGTAGATGCCTAATTTGACACTATTTCGTAGAACTGTTGTTATATGAAATAGTGTCAGATTAGACAGGTTCGATTATATTGTCATAGAATTAGTTTTCCTTCACTTACAGTCGTCAATTTCCTTCTAATATTTTCAATGGATTTAAGTCTGCCTATATGTCTGATCAAGACAACATATAACCTATACTTCAAGATGACAATTAAACAATTCCTAATTTCACTAGTATGATTTCACTCTTGCGTAAAAGTGAAATTATAATTCTCAAAATAAATACTGAGGTGGAATAGAACAGTATCGATTCATGTTCATATATTCCAGTACGGTAAATCATTTCTCTACCAGGATTAGTTTACCCGAAGAAATAACCCCATTATATATTAGATTTTATTTAAATAACGCATTTAAAAAATTTCCTTCCTCTACTGTACCTAATTTAAAGAATTTTAAAAATGTGTTGATGGTCACTCCGTGTGATAAATCTTTACCTTCGTAGTTATATATATCAAATAGTATAATATAATATAAGGGTTAAAAGTACGAAATATTTTTTGCCCGGGCTTATCTGTAAGTAAAGATATATTTTTCAACCTTCAGAAATTATTGTTAAAATTTTTCGCTCAAATAACAATTTCATTCTCTTAGTTATGTTTAACTCTTAAGAGCAAAATATCTACAATTATAGAATTGTTAATCATGTTTGTAAAAGATGTTATTAACAATGCTATTCTACAATACAATAAGAGATGAAAGTTTTATTAAAGTGTAAATGAACATCATCATATCTTTTGACAATATTCGAAGTTTGATATTCTACAAAAATATAACGTAATTTGAATAGAATAAGTTAAAATTTCTTGCTGTGTTTTACAGACAAATAATAATAACATAATATAAATAAAATAAGATCCAATAAAAATAGCATTATCATGTAAATGTCATAAAGGTTTCTTTCAGAAATTTCAAATAATATAAGAGTGCTTTAAGCACACTTATGCTTTATTTTCACTTGTCCATATTATTAATACCCTCCTTAGATCAACTATATCAGCGGTCTTTCTTTTCTCTCTTTTATATAAGCTACCGACAGGAATTTAACAGGAATGTTCAACTGTTCACATACTACATAGAAATATAGTCATTTTGAAATGAAAAACTAAATTAATAATTTATATAATTGATTTGAAAATTTAATAATTGTTTTGATGTTATATAGATATAAAAAACATTTAGTACCTAATAGCAGTTCCTGATCAGCTGTCAGTTAATAAATTGCCCATAAATTGTCCATTAACTTATAACACTTACTTGACGAGNTCCATATTATTAATACCCTCCTTAGATCAACTATATCAGCGGTCTTTCTTTTCTCTCTTTTATATAAGCTACCGACAGGAATTTAACAGGAATGTTCAACTATTCACATACTACATAGAAATATAGTCATTTTGAAATGAAAAACAAAATTAATAATTTATATAATTGATTTGAAAATTTAATAATTGTTTTGATGTTATTATTACAGAAACAATCAACACGATTGTTGAATTGTAAGACCGTTTATTTCGGAATTTATAGTGTAGAATGTCGTAGAGCCGTTAGATTTCGAGTGTCCGGGAGCACAAAATCCAAGGATTGTTAATATAGTTACGACATCTATTATTACAGAATTGCTAAATGTTTAGCAGCAGATATACCACAAATTATACACTCCGTGTGACCCCGTTTGTAGCGCAATAAGCTTGTCCTCGGCGTAAGGTAAGTATTAATCCGTCAATCGGCACGAATTTTAGACCTAAATGGGTGGATTGCCTAAGAAAAGGGACTGTCGACATTATGGCGGTGTTTGCAGAGGAGTGGCGAAAAGGTAGACATCGAGGTCTTTGGTCCACGACCTAACCCAGACTCCACTGTATTAAAGACGAAGCACGAATTTCATTATTTGAAGATTGGACGATTTCGTCAGTTTCTTAACAACATATCTTTACAAACACCCCTCGCCATAACGTTCACAATTGAACCATTATCTAGTTTGTTCGTCGCATCCAATCATTTACATATCACGCTTCGTTATCGTCACATAACACCAACACTGCTTTCCCAAATCCAACCCCTAGGTCCTCGTCCCGGGAAGTGGAAACGTCACTCGATGATTTCGAGTGGTGGCTAAAGGGGCTCTGGTACACTGGATATGCATACACTAGAGTTGTCTTAATCTTCTCTGTGGAACTTTGTCATCAGAGATGTAAAGATATTTACAAAATTCTAAAATTATATTTTCACTGCAAAGCACGGATGCCGTGTTTAAACTTTTTCACAAAGATGAAGGAATCATCTAATTATCAATAATTTCGATTTTAGGGTACGGAACTGACGGATGATTCCTTTACTCTATTTTTATGGTAAACAGGAAAGAGGTTCGTCTTATTCCCTATTTGCAAAAAATATGACGCTGGAAGTAACGAACCGAATACTTTTGTAGTGTTAATTTGTACTTTTGTTTCCTACGACCCGGACCGCATTAACGCACGAGCATGTTTGGCTTTCCCGTGACCTTTTGAATAGCCTCATATCACTTCTTGCTACTAATATTTTTTTTGAATCTGTAACTCTATTGAAATAGGACTGGAGACATCGTATCTAATAAAAATCGCATTTAAAAATATTTTCTTCGTAAATAAAGTAGCTGTGAACTTTATTCCAACAATGCTAAATATAAATAAATGATAACTCCGCAATGAAGCAATTAAACTTTGAGATATAATTTAGAGATTTCTATAATTATTAATTTATTATATTATATAACTAGCAGGTAAGTCCTGCGTTGCCCGGGCAAAAGATAAAAACAAACATTAAGATTACCATTCTATCATATCATATTGTATTGATAGTATTGATTTATATAACTACAAAGGATATATTACGTAAGGGTTCATCGCACCAAGTGACCAATCTAACACATTTTAAAAGTTCTTTAAAATTACACTCCGGTAACCTCGTATTATGTAATTTTCCTATTCGATTTGAGAAAAAATGTAGACCTATAAATTCCAACTGTTGTTGGTCCGTCTGTCTTTTCATCTGGAGAACGGAGTTAGATAAAAGTCCAGACGATATGGAAAAATGAAGAGCAGGAGACCCGGATTAACTGTAAACGAACTTTTGGTTTCCACCGGAAATCACGTTATTTCAATTCAAATGTTTCCCGGAACAAGTTAGATAGATAACCGACACGACTGTATTGCTAATAGGAAAAGTATGACGTGCGGGAGCAAGACACCACTAAAAGAATTGAGAACACCGTAACGAAAGTTGTAGCCGGCAGTTTGACGACGTCCAAACCCACGACAAACTAAATTACCGGTGTTCGGTTGTTTAAAATTCAATTTGAAATTCATGGCACAAGAATGAAGGAAATATAGTATTAAATTATTACATTTATAAAATGTTATATAAATTTCATAGATAAACATTTAGAAAGTCAATAACTTACATTTTTAAAATTTCACTGTTCTTTATTTTTGAATATAGTAAATGTTTAATAATATGTAAAAATAGAATTATTGTAATAAGATTTTTAATGATATTCAATAAGAAAACTGCTTTATAATGGCGATAAGATTTTTCAACTTCAACACATCACATTGTTTCTGTTTAATTCCAAAATTATCTGTTGTATCATCAGTCATGTAGGATGTTAAATTTTCAACATAAGAGCTGGCTGAAGAATGGATTTCTTGAATTCCATTTATCTTTAATAACTGTTTAATATTGCCTTCATTGACACCTCCGCCTGAAATTATTATTATAAAAGCTAAATTTTAATTTATAAAATAAAAATTTTAAATTAAATTTTTAAAAAATTCTGAGTTTTTCAAACCTGGCATTATTATTATTTTTTTAATTTGATAAAAATTATATACTTCACCTAGTTAAGGCACCTAAAACAAAACCATCTGCACCATTTTCTTTAGCAATTTTAATATCTTCTTTCATTATCTGAAATTCTTCATTAGAATAAGTAAAATCACCACCACGTGGTCGAATCAGTACAAAAATTGGGATCTTTACTTGTAATCTTACAATTTTTAAAAAACCTGATATAAAAATTATGAAATGTGTTAATTGTTATTAATATATGAATAATAATTTTAAGATTATTTACATATGATATTAAAAAGATAAAATTTACAATTTTCATTTGATTATTATAAATTTGAAATTCTGCACCTCTTACATGACAGTTGCAATCTCCTATAGACTAATTAATTCCATAAACAGTCTTCAGTAAGCTACAGGTAACCTCTACCTAGCACAAGTCTTGAATGCAAATGTTGCTTAATTAAACATATTATTAATATCTGCTATAGCCAAGCAGCTTTCTCATATACACTCATGTTTGTGAAAATTGCAACACCATGAAGGAATTGTCGAAAATTAATGAAATTTGTTCCACATATTACTGATAGTGATACAAATAAACGATCAAATTTACAAGACAAAAAACAAAAAGAACGTCACAAATCAGTACTTTGTGTGTCCGCCATGATGAGCGATGAGAGCCTGTACACATCGTGGCATTAAATCATACAGGTTCTGAATGTAATCCTGGGGAATGGCATTCCAGATGGCTTCGACTTGATGCCAAAGTTCAGTCTTATTGCGTGTCCCACCAGCTGTAAGAGTGAGTTGCAGATCAATGAAATCCCAGATATGCTCGATGGGCGACATATCCGGGGAATAAGCAAGCCATGGAAGAAGCGAAACCTGTTGTGCACTGAAGAAGGCTTGTGCAGTCTGAGAAATATGTGTACAAGCATTATCCTGCTGAAATACAGCATCCAGAATGTGTCAAAGAAGGGGGAGGACCTCTGGCTCCACAATTTCCCATATGTAGCGATCACTGTTGAGGTTGCCCACAATGTGCACTAGATGGGATCAACAATTATACCCAATAGCTCCCCACACCATGATGCNTCTATTGCCACTATGACTTTTTTCTTTCTTTGATACCATATTGATTAAATATATAAATCACAAAACTGAAAAAAAGAAGTATAGCACAAACACTCGGAAAAGCAATGCTTAACTCGCGCATGCGTAAAATTTGACACAATATACCGTTACGTTCGTTATCCGAATTTTGTTCGTTATCAGAGACAAAACTTTTGCAAAATAAAAGTTCGTTAACCGATTTGGTCGTTAACCAGGACGTTCGTTAACCGGGGTTCCACTGTAAAAGGTTGGCATTTTGATTTATTTTAACTTTGTGAACAATTTTTTAATCATTTTTATTATTGTCATTTTAATAAGTTTTCTTCAAGCTAACATACTGTTACTTCTGTGGTAGTGTGAAAAAAGATAAGAAAAGACTCGAAAATGTGTTAATTTTTGTAAATAGCCTTAAACTTCAAATTTGTATTATTAGTTTATATTTTAACAACAAATTTTTATAATGCTATAAAAATGAATTTAATAATACAATTTTAATTCTCTATCTTGTGGACATTAATGTAATTAACCATATCAATTTTGGCTTTGACCAAGACTAGAATGATGTCATCCATGGGTGAGAGACAGAGATTACTGTCCTCATCAGGACATATTGTCCATGGAAAATTCCTGGACAGTTGCTGGCCGGGATTCAATCTCATATCCTTAGTGATAGGCTGACACCTTAATTGCCTCAGCCATTCAGCAACCAATTTAATTATATTAAAATTAAGGATTGTTTCAATTGTATCATGATATTTATTCATTTTTATGAAACAATTTTTATTACTTCTGGAAATGGTTAATAAGAATTCATTGTATTTTTTATTTATATTGTATTCACAATTGTAATTATATATATTTTTTTATTTTTTTATTTTAATCAGCTACATAGTGTTCATACTGCCATGTGGCTGAAGTGCATGAAGGTGTTATCCTGCTGCTCTGGGATTTGTAAAATTTCTGAGGACTAACATAGTTTAAAAAATAAACTGAAAACATTCCTAACAAACACTAATTACACAATTGTTAGAGAAATATCTTAAATATAAACCCAATTTAAATTGCTTTCTGACAGTAAAAAAGTTTTATGCTATATAAAGCTTGAATTTAATTTGAATTTATCATTAGAATTTCAATGAGAGTAATGTGAATCAAAAACAACTTTTAACGAGAAATAAGAATTGGTAAATATAATAAAATTTTTTTATAGCTATATCTAAATTTTAATACCGGATAATCAAACAAAAACAATACACACGAGAAATAATGAGTCTGTTGCTGAAAAGATGCTGTGAGTTGAACTTAGTGATGTGAGCTGACTATTTATTGCATTGCTAAATGTGATTTGCAGCATCACCAAATTTCTTAATGCATTTTTCCAGATTTTTATGTTCATTTTATTAGCCTGTGTTTTTTCATTGAATTTATCACAGAAACATTTACTGATTAAATGCAATTAAATGAATGTCATTAAGGATAAAAATCTGCTTATAAAATTAGTTTGTACACTAATTTAAATGGCAAAAAGTTTCAGAACAATCATATTTAAGACTTTATATTCATGTTAATTGAATGAAAACTATTACATAAATGATGTGTAAACATTTATTAATAAAAAATATTTGCTGTAATATAACATATATAATATTTTTGATCATATCAATAAAAAGTAAAAATAATAGTAGTACCTCTGTGAAATGTAACTGGCAAAGGGGAAGCTTCATCTGAAATAATTAAATTTAAGGATTTACTTTTTAAATCAAAGTTAATTACTTTTATAACATAAATAATATTTTCTTAAATAAAAATATATCTAGAAAATAAATCTCATTCTGAGAAGTAATATGAAATGCTTGCATATTTAGATGAATATGTTATTAGAGTTAGACAATTCAAAGAATTGAAATTGGCCTAACTCTAAATGTTCATTTTTCTTCTGCAATGAATAAGTCTTCTGGTCAAAGAAGAAAACAAAAGCATTAACAAGTTAAAGATTTTGGTTATCAAGATGTAGGTTAGTGATAATAGTTGTTCTGACTATATTGAAGATCATTACTTTAGTTTTTCTAGTATTTATTAATAAGTTTTAAAGTAAAGAAATTTATTAATATAGGTGATAAAAATAGATAACTGAGGATAGAGCTTTGGAGAATCACCAATAAGTAGAGAAAATAATTGGAAATAAAAATCAGAAACTTTTATTTTGTGTGTATGCAATATAAAGAAATTATTCTATTGAGCCAAGCCAGAATTTCATTGTTTACATCAAATTTGTGGGATAATTTTTCAAGAAAAATGTTTGGAACTACTCAGTCAAAGACTTTAACAATATCTATGTAGACCAGTGGTTTCCAACCTTTTCTGCAGTATTCCTCCCTCATCAGGGCTCCCATGCAATGGAGCCTCCCCAGCATATATACAAATGCTTATTACTTTATTCAGTATTTATTTTCTTTTATTACAGATTAAATAATACCGATAAGGTTTGATTGAAAATATGAAGAAAAATATAATTGGACTACTAAAAATAAAGATATATCTATCTACGGGCACTTTGCACAAATAAAATGGATAATATCTGTACGTAGTGTACAACAGAAGTTTACTCCTTCTGAATAAAGTTATAATACTGTAATTTAATACCAACAAGATTCAAAACAGCAACCTCAAAGTATAAAAATGGTGAAAGCGAAAAACAAAGAATATAATGCAGTTTTAATATATAGTAATTTCATCACTAATTTTCTTTATTTTCAAGATTATGAACTTAATTATTTTAAATGTATATTAAGACTAACAAATGTGAAAAAAATTTAAAAATACTAAACTTACCAATTAAAAGTTTGCAATTCACTTCATCAACTTTACCTGAACTATTAAAATGAAATAAATTAAATACAAAATATTCTCAGATTTTATTTTTCACTGCAATAAAAAAATGTTTAATTAATATTTAATTGACATTTGTATTGAATATTTTTAATTTTCTAATTAATTACATTAAGTTTAAAAAATAATAAGCTAAATTTAAGTTAAACAATTTATCTTCAAAAATATATATTTTATTTCAGTTTACAAATTTATAGAAAATATAAGTATAATCTTTTATAAATGAAAAAGATATAAAAATTCTTTGAAAATTTCATTGTATCATCTTCATTTTAATTTGATAAAAATTATATACTTCACCTAGTTAAGGCACCTAAAACAAAACCATCTGCACCATTTTCTTTAGCAATTTTAATATCTTCTTTCATTATCTGAAATTCTTCATTAGAATAAGTAAAATCACCACCACGTGGTCGAATCAGTACAAAAATTGGGATCTTTACTTGTAATCTTACAATTTTTAAAAAACCTGATATAAAAATTATGAAATGTGTTAATTGTTATTAATATATGAATAATAATTTTAAGATTATTTACATATGATATTAAAAAGATAAAATTTACAATTTTCATTTGATTATTATAAATTTGAAATTCTGCACCTCTTACATGACAGTTGCAATCTCCTATAGACTAATTAATTCCATAAACAGTCTTCAGTAAGCTACAGGTAACCTCTACCTAGCACAAGTCTTGAATGCAAATGTTGCTTAATTAAACATATTATTAATATCTGCTATAGCCAAGCAGCTTTCTCATATACACTCATGTTTGTGAAAATTGCAACACCATGAAGGAATTGTCGAAAATTAATGAAATTTGTTCCACATATTACTGATAGTGATACAAATAAACGATCAAATTTACAAGACAAAAAACAAAAAGAACGTCACAAATCAGTACTTTGTGTGTCCGCCATGATGAGCGATGAGAGCCTGTACACATCGTGGCATTAAATCATACAGGTTCTGAATGTAATCCTGGGGAATGGCATTCCAGATGGCTTCGACTTGATGCCAAAGTTCAGTCTTATTGCGTGTCCCACCAGCTGTAAGAGTGAGTTGCAGATCAATGAAATCCCAGATATGCTCGATGGGCGACATATCCGGGGAATAAGCAAGCCATGGAAGAAGCGAAACCTGTTGTGCACTGAAGAAGGCTTGTGCAGTCTGAGAAATATGTGTACAAGCATTATCCTGCTGAAATACAGCATCCAGAATGTGTCAAAGAAGGGGGAGGACCTCTGGCTCCACAATTTCCCATATGTAGCGATCACTGTTGAGGTTGCCCACAATGTGCACTAGATGGGATCAACAATTATACCCAATAGCTCCCCACACCATGATGCCAGGCGTTTGTGCAATATGACACTGTGGGAGCAGACGTTACAGAGGGGAACGTCTGCTCCCACAGTGTGTTATCCAGTGTCACATACTCTTCCATCACAGTGACATGTACTCTTTCATCATCGCATTGAGTGAGATTCGTTGGAAAAAACAACTTGTTGCCACTGGGCACGCCACGCGCTGTGTTGCTGAGCCCACTGAAGTCGAAGGCATCTGTGAATCAGCAAGAGGGGAATCCTGCATAGAGGAACCCTTGAATACAGTTTGTGCTGCAGCAGACAGCAACAAACTGTGGAGCTAGACAACAAAACACCTGTAGCCATGCTCCAACATTGTGCTAACACACGAGAGGACACTGTACGGTCTATCACAGCCATGCAGATGAGGTATCTGCTGTCCCGTGCCGTTGTGCTATTGCTTGCCCCACTGCCAGGTTTTTGCCTTATTTGGTTCTCCTCTGTCCATTTCTTCCAAACCACGCATCACTGTTGTGGCATTACACTGTGTACGGGCTGTGATTTCTCAATATGAAAATCCACCCTCTTACATACTGACGATGCGGCCTCGTACGAACTCCGTTAGTTGTTGGTATGGCTTCCTCCACTTTTGACGAGGCATATTGACCACCAATGAAACGTTTACCACTGACAGAGGAAGATAAACGGATTTCAACATATCTTTACAGTCCTTTATGTAACTGGAACAAGCGGCTGATAAGGAGACGGTTCTCGTTCCACGCATGCGCAATTGCTTTGTAATTCTACTCATTTGCATGTCTTACCTCACTTTCCATTTCCTGTAAGTTTGGTTCAATTTGTACAATTCCTTCATGGTGTTGCAATTTTCACAAACACGAGTGTATTTATTTAGAATATGTTAATGGCAAACTTTAATTGTAAGAGATTTAAACTTGTCTTTTTCCCTGATAAATAAAAATATGAATTCTAATTTTATGATTTTAAATCAGAATATATTAAAAAAATTTTTAAAGCCAAGTGCCATAGGTGTAGGGTGCTGAAATGCACTTTTACTGTGAATAATCTATGCTAAAATGAAAGTGCATCTTACATGCCATAAATTATGGTATGTCATAACCATGTGCTAAAATCTGCTATTTCAAGAAGTGTCTAGTCATTTCTTCAGGTGTTAACACATCCTATAATAGACATTTGTTTCAGAATCTGTCTAGTTTTTCTGGTCACTTCTTGAAATGCTAAAGTAGTTTCTGCAGATGTTGAAACCAATGTATATTTCATCTGTCTAATGAAACTAGGCATTTCAAATATATAATGGCTTATTAGCACATGGCATAATTTAAAACATCTGAATGTTTCTATATTTCTGTGTTGCTTCTTCTTTGAATGTGAATTATATGACAATATATATATATGTCAATTACAGCAAAATAATTTTAATAAATACTTAATTTTTGTAAACGTACCAAAAAAAATACATATTTTACATTTTAAATTTAAAAATATTTGATGGCTATAAAATATAGTGGTAAATGAAATAAAGTACAGGAGCATCTTAAAATTATCAAAAAAGTTTCAAAGTATTGGTTCCTCCCAAAATTTTTTCTGGCTACATCACTGGATATTTTGTAACAAAACTGGAAATGACTGTCATATGTTAAATATATCACTCAAAAATCAAAATGTTTAAGGAAAATGCTATTACAGGCAGTCCTCTACTTTTGTACAATTTGCTATTTCGTAAACATTCCATACTTTTGATTTTTATTGATGTATATATGGCAAAACACACATACTTTTATGTAATGATTCTCCCCTTCTCATAAACTATTAGTAACTAGTCCTTCCCCACCTCTCCAACATTAATTATGTCCATTTTTGGTGTCACAGGTTCAGTCTTGAGCAGGAACATCTTGAGTTAGCCTTCATCCATCTTGACAAATTTTTGACCATCATGGAAGAATGTGATCCCAATAGAGAACAAATATCTTATGTATGAAGGGCAATAGAAAAAGAGAACACATTACAAAACTCTATCAAGAAAAGAAAAAGAAGAGTACACTTCAATTATCTCTTGACAAACTTATAAAGAAAACACCAGATACTAATTAATAAAAAAATAAATATTTTTGAAAACCCCTTTTGATGTTTTTTTTAAATTGCTCTATTTTCATAAATTTCAACTTTCATAAACATTTCACAAACCAATTAGGTATGAAAGTAGAGGAACACTTGTATTTTATTTTTATTTATAGTAATTTTAATTGCAAACACGAAATAATAAATCATCAAGCTAGCAATAAAAAAATATATTAGCAACATGCAGCATAAATTTATTTTCTAATGTTGGTAGCATTGTGTGCTACTGTAAATAGACTACTGGGATCAAATTCAGGTGGTCGAAACTTTCTGTAAATTTTTTTGGGTGTAGTCTGTCCCAAAGATGTCAGGCCCTGTACCTAAGCACAGGCTGCCCTATAGTGGGGTTGGACAAGCTTACAATAAGCTTGGAAAAAGGCCTTTTAGTACTGACAGGGCAGAAAGAGTAAAAAACAAAACAAAAAAGAAAAAAAACTGTTATAGAAAAGTTTATATTTATATTCTTCTTAATTTAATATTTTTATATTAAATATTAAATAATACACATTACAAAAGACATCTTATTTTAATATACAGAAAATCTGAATAGTCTTCAAAAATATTTACATATGATAAATGAATGAATGAATTTATGTAACTTTTCAGGTATCTTACCCAAACTTGGTGTCAAACCTCCTTCTGAAAGGCAGGAACATAATTCTAATCGAGAAGCACCTGAATTATTTAAACATCAACACATTAAATTCCTTTCATTTAATTATACAAATATAAATATTTTCAATCTGTTACATTAGAAAAAACCAAATTTACTAATAATTTTAAATATATTGTTTAATCCTAAATTTCACAAATAAATTTTTTTTATCATCAAACCAAAATTACAATCTGTTTGTGTTCCAATTAAAACTAGATATAAAAGAAACTTAAATTTGATGATTTTATTCATGTTTAGTTAAATAAAATAATAGTCTAGTAACTAATGTTAGCTACTTGTTAGTGAATGAATAACTAATATAAATAACTTTTCAACTGAATTTATCACAGATCCTGTTACAAACTTCTCAAAGTAAAATCCAGAGTTCTGTTAGATTAGTTTGGATATAATAAATCAGCTAAAATAAGTCAGGTTAGCAAATTTTAATCTATGGCTGCTAATTAGTGTTACCACCCATCCAGTTTTCACCCGGACAGTCCGGGAATTGACTCACTGTCCGGGTGAACTATTAATTTTGTCCGGGAATTTCATAGAAATTGTGAAATTATGACGAAACAAAGTTTTTGCAAATACTTTTACAAATTTACACTATTTTAACAGCAAAAGAACTCACACTCACTGAAACTCATCTACAATTCTGCCATGTTAGTCTGTTTATTCCAACTTGTGGCGCACAACCTGTCGACCTTTTTTTTTTTTTTGCACGTACGATTGTACATGTCTCCAATATCCAATAGAGCTAAGTCATCTATACCTGTTCTTTCTTAATTTAGGGTTACTTACGTTACTCCTACGCAAGTCCCTAGTCCCTAACTGTAACTGATTTAGAACCAGCTTGCACATTATTCTTCACCTTGTAAAATGACATCGTGCATGCGTCAGGAACTTCTGTTCGAACAAACCTGACCTACCGTCCGGGTCAGTAATTTTGAAAAGGTGGCAACACTACTGCTAATCCACAGAAGCCTGCACTATCTGTAGAAGGTGGTCAAATAATGTTAAAAAAATGTTAGTTTATTCTAACATTTTTTCTTAATAAATATCTTGATATTTTAATATTAAATGTGTATTTAATAAGTCAACAAAACAGAGTACGGACTTATCATCATTTATTAATCATTATTCTTGTTGTTGATATATGGCATCTACTGCAGTAAAACTATATAGATGAGTTAATTTTTATCCATTTAATATAGACAAATTTGCAATGGAGTCAGTATCAAAATAATTGAAAGATAAATTTACTTGGGTTGATCAAATGACACAATAAATTATTGGAGTTAATATAAGATTTGAACACAAAACTCCTACAGCAGTATAACATATATATTATTGAGCAGACAAATTAATATCTAAATTCTCTGTTTCCAAACTCCTGTTAAAACAAATAATGTTCATTAGTAACATTGCGACATCAAAATCAAGCATTCTTAGAACTATATTATAAATTTATTTGAAGGGCAATTATGAGAAATTTAAAGTAGTAACTGTGTGAAGCAGAGAGTAACTCTGTGTTCCCAGCATCTATTTTTGTTTGTTTGTTTTAATGGTGTTGTTCCTTCTGAAGTAAAACAGTTCAGTGATTTTTATATCCTTTATTGCACTTAACAGTTTATTGCAATACGCTCACTACCCTATCCATTTGTTTATTTTCATTGTCGTTTTGCATTTACGAAGTAATATTTTAACATAAAATGTACATCATTATAATATTTCCATCACTCTTTATTGCATATAAAGAAAATGTAATTGATATACAATTTCTAATAGAAGATACTATACAAACTTACTCATTGCATTACTGCTCACAAACACACGCTTTAACGACCTCATTAAGTGGTTTTTTTTTCCAGTAGAGTAATTAAAATTTGTAATGGGTAAAATCATGCTAAAACAGAAATTAAATAGAAGAATAGGCTTTTTTTTTATACTGTTATAATGTTATTTGAAAAAATTGGTCAGGATTATTGAACAAAATGGTATAATTTTTTTCCGTAAGAAGTTGTGGAAAATACTTTTTGGTATTTGAATTGTTTTCAGGATAGCTGTAATTGTAGTTTTAAGAGCTTAAAAATAGTTTGGAAATCTACTGTTTTCAGTATTTAATAAGGATCTTTATTAGTACAAAGGTTAGAAATCACTGATTTGATGATTAAATCATTTACATATTATCAAAAAATATATATAATATATCCATGCACAAGTGCAAAATTAAAATGATAAAACTTAAAAGTACACAGTTTACAGTATATTACAGTATCATTTTCTTATCAGTTATTGGAAATTAACAAATTTAAGAAATAGAATACTGTTGTCTTTCTCAACCCAATGATTAGTGTTACATACATAATTATCATTGATTGCAGAGGTGGATTTATTTGGATCCAGATAAAAATTAAAGCTACAATTTTTTACAATACGTTGCTTCAGTTCTTATCAGGATCCATATAAATCCAACTCTGCAATTAAGGATAATCAAATTACATGATTTAAAATTTTAATTTTGCACTGATTAATAACAAATCCCAATACACCTTTACTCATAATTGATACTATATGAATTTTTATTATATAATAAATAATAACTTACCACCTTTATATGCATTAATTGCAGAAGCAAGCGAATCTACACAAACTTCCAGTTTTACAGACATTATTTTCATCCAAAGCCAAAATAATCATAAAATATTCATATTTTAAACTCCGATTCGGTTAAATAAAACTTTTGTTTTGAATAATTTAAGGATTGACATTTTACTTGCAACTACAACAACCACGTGTTAGCTCGCTCGCTTGCCGCCCCCTGGCGGTGAAGTTAGGCGTTAGCTACGTCGGCTATTTCGCCCCGTGTAGTTGTTTTTCCAGGTATGTGAGTGGAATTGGTTGGAGAAACGGATGGCGATCTCGAGTCGAAGAAGAAACGTTTGGCAAACTCGGTACAAATGTCGAGGGATTGTAGGAGAATGTACAAGGGAGTGTGGACTCTGTGAATGAGGAATGTCGAAAATAAGTAGATGAATTAACCGTTTGTCGGATGAGAGACAAGAAAAAAGTCAGATTGATTTAGTATTTTTGTATTCATTAAAATAGGTCGATAAGGATTGATTAGTGCGTTCGTTTTCGAGTTTAAAAATATCACTGGTGAAGAGGGCAAAAAAAGAGGGCGTTGAGATCACGCTGCTTTGAGGAATACCTCTGCATTGTGTGAGTTCTGTAGCGGTGCGGCTTCTCCATTTAACCATAACCTTTCTGTTATATAAGAAATTTTTTAACCATATGAGAGAATTGCCTTTGAGGCCTTTAGTAATAGCTTTGCGAAGGATGCGATGGTGGTATGATTTTCCATAAATTGTTCTTATATTAATAGTTAGGGGAAGTAGAAACATTCTTCCAAAAGGTGCATTTTTGAGCAAGTACAGTATCCCCGCGTTTTTTTATGCAGCGAGAGTGTAGCGAAATGACGTAACGAGCAGTATTGGCCAATTAGAAACCAGTTTCAGTGTGTTCGCTGTAAAGCGCTTCTCGAGCGCTGCATAAAAAAACGCGAGGTATTGTATGTTGGAGATCTGCTGTCGCTTTTTTGGCAGGAATCCAGTTTTCTCGGTTAGTATGTCTGTGGAAGCAGTGGTATGCTTGCCTGTTTTTTGCTAATTTCCGTTGGAATTTTTTAAGATCACAAATGACAACAAAACGTTTGTGCATAGTTGGCAAATAGAAGCCACGTGCTTGGTTCTATCAAATAGAACTAAAATATTGCTTGGTTATCATTTTGTGTAATTTTGCCCCGAATGCGGGTCCCTTTTGTAGGCAATCGTGCTTAAGTGGTTTTAAAAGATTTGTAAAGTTAATCGTGTCTATTTGTATGTTTCCAGAATTGTACGTAATAAATAACACTTTTGAATGCAAAACTGTCACGAACACTACACTAACAGCATTTCCATCAATGTTACTTTTCTGTTTCAAAGATTTGTCTTCCTAATATATTTGGTGGTCCAGAAGTCAATTAATCATTGTAAAAACTAATTCGAAAGCAAGATCCTTATTATTTGATATGTAAATTACAATGCTTTTACAGATTTAGATCACAGTTTATTAGAACTTTTCTGCTATTAAGTTGATATTAAGTTAGAGAATTATTGTTAACATTACCGCGATTTAAACACTTATTTTGATTTAATAAAAATACGTAATAGAGACTTAAAATGTCTTCACTTGTCGCGGGAACAACTTTTCATTAAATTGTAAATTGGCCAGCCCTTTCTTTCGAAAGATTTATTTGATTTGTACATGAAAAAAGGTAAAGTATAAATCGTTTTCACTATTCTGCTAGCGACTACAACGGATAGGCTAGATATTTATTGGTCAAAAGTACTCGGCTATTGTAACTCGATTACGCAATAAATATCACGATGAACATTTTTGATCGAGTGCAATACGGTTGGGCAACACACGCACTGTACGCTATCCCGCGGTACACTTGTACGTTCTAAGGCGTCATAATCGCATAGAACACAAACTTCGACGACAGAAAAAAAACAAAAGGTCTCACCGAGATTCGAACTCGGATCGCTGGATTCAAAGTCCAGAGTGCTTACCGTTACACCACGAGACCTCCGCCCGAGTCGTCTCTCGAAAGCTCATTTATAATCCAATCGGCGTGCCGACGGACATTACTCGGTTCGTTCATCACACGCAACGGAAATTCGAGTGTCGCAAGAGTTATCGTCCTCCGTCGTATATCGCGCGGGGCGGTATATCCTCGCCTTTCTTCGCGTTAAAATATATGAATTATTATAAAATATGAAACGATTTTTAAAAATTAATATAATATAATAAATTTTCTTTCATTTAAATAAAAATACTAAAGTAAATTTAAAATGCGGGAGTCGGAGTCGACACATTTTTTTTCCAACTCCGACTTCTCTGGCCAGAAATTCCTCCCGACTCCGAAGCCCTGAATTTAATTGTAAAAATCAAAACAATTTTATCGTCTAGATTATTGCGGTTTACAACTAGAGATAATTCATCAAAAATGATTTTAAAAGGAATATTAGTTGCCACCTGCCGTATATTATGACTGGATACGGTTACATCTTTCGTTGTCCGCAGTAAGTACAGTACATTACCATAATAATTCTGGATAGAGAAAGGTTCTGACTTATAAATTCTTACCATTAGCTCAACCCGCCTGTGCGAGACTCTTTCAGAGAGGCAGATTAGGATTCTTGGTTTGCCTCAAGCTCGAAGTAGAAAACTACTTTGAAGGAACATTTTGTTCCGAAGAAAATGATTGGTGGCTGTCTTGCTTAAGGGCATTCGAAGGGAATGGAGCAAAACTTAATGTTATAATTATTTAAGTCTTAAATGTATTTTAAAAGAATACAATCAATAATAATAGTACAATTACTTTAATAAAACTAATAACGGAATTCTAATTACAGATGTGAACCGTACAATGCGGAGATGCGTTCCGCGTGATAGGAAATAGCAGTATCCAGACATGTATTTTCAGGCGATTTCGTGCGAGTTTAAACCTAGCCTAGAAGCTGAAGATAACATATTCTTCTGGACGACAAAATTATAATTTTGTACGAGAACTCGTCGAAATTTTTTCGTTGTGCTATATGGGATTTCACTGTATTTGAAATTATTATGGCAACAAAATTATAAAGGAATTTTACGGATTTCTATTGTTACAATCCTTAGGAATGTTTTTACGATTTTTATATTTTATTATTTAAAATAAAAATGCGATGAATTTAATTGAAAGTGCCCACTTTTCAGAATTCATTACGCAGCATGCCTTGTAATTGTCAAAGAATGGAACTAAAATTTGGTTTTCTACTCTTGGTATTTAAAGTATTTTTTCTTCATTCTTGTATGATTTCTGTGGTTTCAAAGATCTTGAACTTTTTTATTTTTAAATTATTAGGTTGATATAAGTCTCACAATCTGGTTAATCTTTTTTCACCTTTTCAGTAGAACCACTAGACTATACCACCATCACATTTATAACCACTAGATTGCCTGATAAAGAAAAATGCATATTGAAATAATCTTTCTTAAGTATTGTTAGTTTTTAAATCTTTCAAGTAAAAATTTATTATTCCGTCTAACATAATATAATGAAAAGCTATTTAAGTTTTTTTTAATTAAAAAGATTACTTTTTAATTAAAAAACTTGACTTTTTGAGGATCATTCAGATAGTAGCATTCCTTTTAGAATTAAAAAAAAACCAATAAAGGTGAAAAAATTTTATATCTACATAATCTACATACCATAAGTTAATTTTTTTCCACATGTTACCCTGAAAATTTAAGCATTTATTGGTACTGTGTAACAAAGTTTTCCATTTCCTGGTCATACACATTTGCTGACAGTTCATTCAGAAACTTAGTGACTGCTTCTGAAGCTCTTCCTCACTTGCAAAGCATTTTCCTCAAAGGAAAGACGAGTCACTACCAAATCCATGACGATGAATAGTCCAAAACTTCCCACTTGTGACATGAACTCAACAGGAATAACCTTATAACAAGGATCATTTGGAAATTAGCAATCTTGGGAATTATCCAAGAATACTACTTCCCTGTAATTATTATTAGATTTGATTATAATTATGTTAATGTAATGTATTTTAAACAGGATAAGATATCCTTATTTCTAAAAAACACTTCTATCAAAGCTGGAACTAGTTTAGAGTAAATGGCTGGGACCAAGCAAAGCTAATAAAATGTTTTTGAGAACCATAAACTAACAACATTGGAAACTTATGAAATATTCTTACTTGAAGAGCAGGTGAATGTATTAATAATAAAGAAAAAGAAATATTAACAAAGGCATGTCAGTCACTGGCGGATAACCTGATACAGTGATCAAGCTTAGTAAGCTTAGTGAAGCAACTTAGTAAGATATACCAAAGGTTACTAACTTGCATGTTTTTCTTTAGTTGACACCCCTTTTTTATTTTTAGTTTAATAAGAACATTTCTTCACTAGGACTCTCAGTTCAAACCTTTGAATTATACACAGTATATTTAAAACTCCGAAAGAGGTCAAAATGTTTGTTTGAATAAAGTGAAGTGTTGCTGGAAAGAGTTAAAAGGTGTTGTTTATTTTATATCCTTATTTATTTTATTTCACATTAAAAAGTAAGATTCAAATGTTGTAAATGATGATAATTGAAATAGTGTGACAAAAAACTGCTTAAAGTATTATGATTTTTTTCTTCACAAACTTTCATGAATACAATCAAATTAAAAGGTTATATTTGCATAGGTTCTTAGATAAAATAAAATAAATTTTTAATAAATTTCTTAGATAATTTCATACATACATTAATCACAACAGAAAGAAGTACATCGAGTCACCCAATCTATTCCTTTTTACATTTTGTTATTATTAAAGTTATGTTCACTGTTTTACAAAAAGCATTGCTGTTCTGAAATTTTAACAAAGATTTTCTGACGCCATTAAAAATTATCCAAACTTTTTATTTACAAAACTGATTCATTAAAATTAGCTGTACAATAACAGTTTTATGTATTTTGTAGAAAATAACTTCCCCCAAAGCATTAACAGTTTTGACTCGTGAATAAAATGCATTTATATATACATTTTTTTATATTTTCTACAAAAACAAATTTTTTTATCAATACACAGATAATATCTTTGAAAAATAATATCTTAACTGATGAATAATAAATATGTACATGGAATTTTTTCTTCTTTTTAACCCATTTAAACATTATGGTTTTGAGAATTGAGAGGCACATGTTTACACATTGACACATTTACTGTATATATATATTGCCATATGTACACATTTATTTAATAATTATATTAAAGGATTAAATGGGCCCTCAGAACATTTATTATACTATTTGGTTTTGTAGTCGTATCAATCCTGGTTTTAATTACAATAATACGCAACAGGAATTTGCCTTTCGAGCCTGTTTAAATAAAATTACATTTATTTTAATACATAATCATAAAAATAAAAAGTGTAATGATTCATTATCCTAAATTCTATTATTTTATACATTAAGTAAACAGCTATACAAAATTAAATAATACATACAAGATATAGAAAAAACATATTGCATCAGGCTCTATTTTATTATGCTAATATGTAGCCAAAGCAAGTACACAAGAGTATACTCTTGTGTACAGTGGTACTTCAGGTTACGAACGCCCCAGCATACGAAATTTTCAGGATACGACATGAAATTCGAACATATTTTTGCTCCACGATACGAACAAAAACTCACCATACGATGTTATATTAGTTCGCATTTTTCATTTGTTTTTCTTACTACAGTTATTTTTTTAAATGTATTACTTGGCTTTAATTTGAGTATGTTTTTCACGTTGGAACGAATTATTTGGTTTTACATGTAATCGTATGGGAAAAGATGATCCACCTTACGACATTTTCATGATACGATCTCAGTTTCAAAACGGATTAATTTCGTATCCTGAGGTACCACTGTACTTGCTTTGGCTACATATCAATAGTGTGTACACTCTTGTGTACTTGCTTTGGCTACATATCAATAGTGTGTACACTCTTGTGTACTTGCTTTGGCTACATATCAATAGTGTGTACACTCTTGTGTACTTGCTTTGGCTACATATCAATAGTGGACAATTCAATGACAGTTACCAATGACTCCATTTCTCATTGAGTTGAATCCTATCTCAGCTTATATGAAAGATAGTGGAATCACAAAGTGGCAGTGTCTCAAAATTAGCACAGAACATTTTTTTGTCTGGTTAAAATACTCAATAGTGAAGTGGCTAGACACAAAAAAAAAATGGATGGAGAAAACTGTATTAAGTCTTTTTTGTATGAAGTTGCATGCTCAAGGCAACCAACTGTATAAAGGAAGCAGACTCTGAAAACAAGATTGATTGTTTTATTGGATTTATGCAAAAATTTCTGGAATTTTCTACAGTTTCAATAGTATAACATTTACTTCAAAAACAAAAACAGTTTATTTGAGAAAATAACTACCATTACTTTCATGCACCTTCTTCCATTTGTTGGACAGCTCTTGTATTCCTGCTGAATAAAACTCAAGCTATTTTGTCTTGAACTAAGCAAGTGGTTTTCATCTCCTCATTGTCAGTGAACTGCTTTCCACCAAGAGGTGTTGCTTGGAGTGAAAGAAATGATAGTCAGATAGTGCAATGTCTGAGTTATTGATATATGGGGAGTAAGGGAGAACCTCCTAGCTCAGATCAAGCAGCTTCTGCTGGGTCAACCTTCACACATGTGATCTTACAATGTCATGAAGTACAAAATACTCATTTCTCATGTGGTCAAGCTTGGATTGGATTTCACCAGCTGCCACAGCTTGTCATCCAACAGAATGGAAAGCATTCCTGAGTATGGCTTATCTTTGATTCAATATTATTCACCTTTAAATTTACTGAACCAACAATAGATTGGAGACTTGGGATGACATTGTTGCCAAATTGTTGCACCATAAACATAAGGGGCAGTCAAATGAAAATGAGACAGATGGGAAAAAGTAAGTAAACTGTTTATTATTTCAAAAGTAATTGCCATGATTTAATACATTTATCCCACTGTGAGACAAGATGGTCAATGCCTTCATGGAATAATGTTTGCTGTTGCCTATGGAACCATGATTGTACCTAGGTGCGCATCTCTTTGTCCAAAGCAAATTGACGAACATGAATGTCTTTCTTCAGGGCTCTAAAAATATGGAAATCGATGGGGAGATATCAGGACTGTATGGAAGATGTGTAAGGGCTTCCCAGCAAAACTTCTGCAGCATAGTCGAAACACATTGGCAACATGTGGGTGGGCATTATACTACAATGGAATGATGCCATCCGTCAAAATTCCTGGGCATTTGGACTTGATGGTGTGCGTCAAGTTTCACTGGAAAGCCTTTACACATCCTCTATACCAGTGTTTCTCAACCTCTAACAAATTGTCACCCCCTTCAGTAAAACCATTACATAGTATCGCCCCCTTCACTACAAAATTCCAATGCTGAGGGCCAAGACTAATGCCAAATTCGAACTGCATTGAATAGTCTAGTGACTAGTATAATATTTGTTTAATTATTGTACGATATAATGAATAAAATATCTAATTATTCTTAATATAATGTTTTACTATATCGCCCAGAAAATTGTTTTTCTCCCCCCAAAATATAAATTGTTACTAATAGCCCTCAACATGGAAAAATGTCCACATGGGGGCAATATTGCCTTATACCATGTGGACGATAACACTGCTCTATACAGTCCCGATCTCTCTCCATCGGGTAGAAATCACCTCCTATTAGGATAGGATAGCTTTGTATGAGTTCAGGAGGTGATGAATGTCTTCTATGGTGAATGTCTCAATGTTAGTGGTTTCTGGAATGTAGACAGAACATACGTAAAGGTGAGTGTTATTGTCTGTAACAATGTATTCTGTGGGTGTTGGGAGACAAGGCAGACAGTAATGTTTTTGTTCTTGATGATAATACCAGCCTTGATGCAATATCCAGGGTCCTGAGCTGGATAGACTTTCCAGTTATTGAACCTGTCTTTCATGTTGTTAATAGTGTAGGGCTCTTGGATCATCATGATGTCTGTATTGTGTACATTGAAAGTGTGAATGAGGAGGGAGCAGGCAGCTTTGCATTTCTGGGCATTAATTTGATTAATCTGTATAAGTTTATAGCTGCCTATGTTCTTATTGTGAAGGGGTGTATTATTCATAGCTGACCCTACTGACAGCTTGTATTTTCATGCATTTGGTTATGGGGCACTGTTGAGAGAATGTGTTATGTGCTGTCTTGTGTTTACTCCCTTCTGGTTATTGGCCTTTGCACAATTTACACACCACAGTTCCTGACTGTGGACACGGCAAACCTTGTGGTTGCCTACGCAATCAATGACTGTAGTGTTGTTTTTCTGTACATTTATTAGCTAGATGACCATAACCACAGCATTTGTAGCAGTGTGTGAGAGGGATGTAGTTGTCTACAGCTATTGTTGCCCATACTAACATAATGCTGTTGAATTAGCGTGTTCCTGATACTAGGAGGACAATGTGTAATCTAGATGCATCTGTCTAGAACTGTCTAGATCTGTCTTATACCAAATTTGTCATGAGAAAGCATTGGCAAACTTGAAATATTCAAAAAGTATTCACCATACAGAATATCTTTTCACTTTTGATTAAGCACTTCAATACTCTTCATTTATATGCCCCACAATAAACTTATAGATGCTGTCTGTCAGAACAATTTTGAATATTCTAGAGAGGTAAAACTTTCTGGAATTTTTTAGACATCAACTCAAAAAAACAAAAACAACAAAGGTTTTTAAATGGGAAACATTAGTTTTCAAAACATAATCTTTCAGAGTAAAAAATTGTACTTACAGCTAGCTACCTGTCTTAAGTGCAAGAGGCCATGTAGAGAAACAGTTTCCATCCATTTTTTTATGGTGTCCATACGATTATCTTTTGAGTATTTTAATCAGACAAGAAATGTTTTTTTATGCTCTATGACTTTGTAATTTAAACTGTGCCACTATCTTCTGTAGGTGAGTGAGACAGGATATAAAGTAGAGGATTACAAGTATGTATCCTCTACTTTATATGTATAGTAAATTACAGTATAGAATAACCCACTACAAATTACCTATATTTTTGTGCATTCATATATAGCTAATATATAACAGAAAGAAGATATAGTCTCTTGTGTTTTTGTCTACACCCAGTACAGACCCACTATAAGATAAATTAAATAGACATAGTAGGGAAATAGTAAAACCAGCATGAATTATTTATATTTTTTCTGTTTTTAAAACAAAATATTTTCCCAAAAAGTTTCTTGACTTTTAGCTACTAGTATATATGGTATTAGCAATAAATTTTAAAGGTAAAATTACACAATTATTATAAAATTGTTCAGAAATTTAATCAATCATAAATATTTTAATTTTTCTTCCAAAAAGGAAAATTTTATAGGAATAAAACCACAAACATGGTAAAAAGATGAATTAAAAACAATATTAAATGAATTATACAAGTTATTGATTAGTTAGAAATACATGTTTTTCCAAACCCAATTATACATTGTAAAATCAAAGATCTATTTTAAAAATAAATGTTCAGTTTGATGAGGAAACATTTGGGTCTTAAAAATGTTTAATCCAAGCTAATTAGTGACTTCTTTAGTGTTTTTGCATCTTGATAAAATATGGAGCCATATGAAATAAAGCACTATTTATGTAAGATAAAAAAAAGTTCATGTAAATTTTAAAGTAAATAAACTGTCTAAATATTTGAGTAATTGATTATCACTAAAATTAAAAATTTATCAATAACTTTATTATAATTATTTTGTAAAGACTTTTTACCGTTTTATAAAATGCTTTTGATTGAGAACTTAAATCTTCAGATTTTGCAACAAGATCATCCAATTTTTCTCCTCTTTCTAAAACTGCTTCTATGGTGTTATGCTGTAAAGATGAATTAACATGAATTATGTAAAGAACATTAAGTAATAATTTTAATTTAAAAATTTCAACATTTAAACAAATTTTCTTCCTTAAAATAAATATTTAGATTACTAAATTAGGTAAAGAATATCTGTAAAGTAAATCATCCTATTTCTTGTTATAAAAATATACCTTTTCCCAAAACACTTCCTTAAAAAATCAACCCACTTCTAATAAGGAAATAATGAATTAGAGTAGCCTATAAATGCATATATAAACACTGCACGAAAATCAAAATGCTTTAATTTTGACAGCAATTCTAGACAAACTAGAATGAAATACAGTAAAAACTGCTTAGGTGACCACCTGCATTCGATGGAAAGCTGTCAAAACAGCCAAAAATTTCTGGCATGGAATAGTTTATCCATAGAGTCTTCGTATAAGTTACCTGTATTAAACGACCACCTGTGTAACGTGACCGCAGGCATCGATTTTTGGTCCGAAACAACATACAACACCTGTAATAAGCGATTACTTTCGCAAATGTATCTGGTCTAAACTCTTATAAGAACCCATCTCAACAATGTTTCCACCTCCTAATATAATGAATTAGTCTAAACTTTCGTTTGAACCCATCCCGGGCACTTTTCCTACCCTTGAAATTAGGTGCAGGGGTTAATAAATTACTCTAGCAACAAAGGAAATTCATTTCAGTTTGTTGGAAAATGTCCGAAATGCAAAGTGCTGTCATTAGAAGATCGTATTAAAGTTATCACAACAGCAATTAGCGGCGAAGTTTAACTGTGGAAAACAAAATTTATTTTACCGTAGACCTACAGTATTTTCCTTGGGGGTATAAAATATTGTACACTATACAATTAATCGGCTGATCTCTTCGTTTGATAAATTTATTTTTATTTACTTATCTATTTATTTATTTTGAAGCTCATGTACAGTACATGTGCGATAAATAGTTTCTATATCAACCTACCTTATTTCCCCGATATTTTAAGGAAAATAATATCCAAGTCATTTTCGCACGCAAAATATTCAAAAAACAATAAACGCATTAATGCAAAACTCAGTTTTACAGGCAACCTTCCTTTTTCGATTCCGCAATGACAATCGCGGAATGTAATGAAATCGTACAATGAGAAAAAATAATAAAATTGTTTTATTATTATTTAATAATTTTTCTTATTGTACTTAAGAAAATATTAAATATTAAAAAATACAGTATTTTTAAAGTTAAAATAAGATTAAACTAGTGAATACCAAAACCAAAGTGATGTAGAAATACAACGCGCTTGTATATCGATGACGTAATGCACATAACTGAGGAGCAAACAAAAACAACCGAGTTGAATTAATTAAGCCGGAAAAAAGAAAGTGTGCATTATAATCGAGAAAATGTGACTATTGTATTAATCTTTAAAATATTGGTATTAAATCTGTCTTATAAAATCACGACAAACTCCTGTAAATCAAGTTATCCAATAAGAATAAAATACAATACCAATATAGCCGTCGTTGAAAAAATTTACTTTTATTTGCTCACCTCGAGTTTTTCTTAGTAGAATGGCTAAAAAGTGCGCAAAATATGTACGGAAATACAGTATTACAGCACCACCTGTCTAAAAGACCATTTTTTGAAGGAACTGTGGGTGGTCACCATAGACAGGTTTTACTGTATAAAGTTTAAATTTATAAAAAGAAACTTTATAAGTAGGCTGTATGGTTGCCATAGTAAGGGTTTAGAAGAGCTGCTCGTGGCTCACAAGCTGCAAGCAGCTCTTCTAGACCCTTACTACGGACACTGTGGATTATGTAAAAGCAATATTTTACTATCATTATTACCATTATTGACTTTTAAAAGTTTAATAAATTACTAATTCCTATTAAACAATTACAGTAGACCCCCTTATAATGCGGCAAAAAAATTGCGACAGTATTTGTATAAAGACGCTAAAAGGGACTCGTAAAACGCGGTAAAATGTCATCGCAACAGGATTGGTTGAATATGGACCAATAGTAGACGAGCAGCCAAACTACTTACATGCTACGAAGAGTTTAGATGGGTAAGTTGAGTTTACTATTGTCTGTACAATATTAACTTAATTTATTTTAACTTTATTATAATTATATATATACTTTCCGCCATCCAGCACCATGCTACGGAGAGTTTAGGCATGTAAGTTGAGTTTACTATCATCTGTACAGTATGTAAATTAGGTACCGTAAGTCTAATACAGCACTGTAATTTTATACATTTCTTGTGAAAGAAACATTTCTTATTCAATGGCCATAAAAATTATTTATATTAATGATGTCTCCAAAGTTCAACGAATTTTTCGCAGAAAAATAACTTATCAGAAATCGCGGCCGCCGTTTGATGCGCTGCTCCTCGACGAAAACAAGCTTAAGCAATGGCGACATCGAACGGTGCACACTTGGTAAGTAATCCTGCAATTTTTTGTTTATAGCATAGTTTATACAGATTATTCCCAAAAAATTATACATGTTTTGGAAATGTTGAGTCAAATTAGTCTAGAATCAATTAATTTTACGGAAGAAAACCTTTCAAACAGCCGTAGTCAGTAAACTGCACAAGTGACAGGCTGTGGTTGGCTCACATATTTAAGGATTCCTACAATGCGAAATTCGTATAAAGTGGAATGTATCTACCACATTATAGAGGGGTCTACTGTATCACATTATTATTCTTACCAAAATGATTTTCGTCTCATCTAGATCAGCTTGTATCTTTGTCATTGCATCTGCTTCTACAGGATTCTAAAATATTAAAATAAAATCTCTTATTGTTTTATCACCACCAAATTAAAATTGTATATTCTAAAAATCATCTAGAATTTCACACACATCACTGAAAATTAAAAACTTATTTAATCTTAAGTTTCACATCAAATTTCTTTTAGCAGATCCTATGTCAAGCAGTGTTCACTAACAATTAGTACTGCCATCTATTGAACTAGTAAGAAACTGATTGTACTTTTTGTAAATTTTGATAGTGGTTATATATCATATTCTACAAGCTTGTTATATAAAATACTTTATATCAACTGCTTGAATTAGGATTATGGTACCATGCAAAGGTACTAGTTTCAGTGACTGGGCCATAAGCAATTTTCTTGAAGATTATCAGGATTCCAGCATATTATATTAGAATTTTATATATATATTATTTATTTATACAATAATATATGTTACAATGTGAAAGTATATGCTTAATGTCATACATAACATTAGGAAGTGCTTTCAAATAAAAACATTTTAAAGTTATTTGTATTTGAATTTTTTAACAATTTAAATTGGACATGAATGGGAAAATATGAAAAAAAATCACTGCAAAGTGTTAATCTGTCTTTCAATTAACAGGATTGTGGAACTGGAGTCAAAAAGCAATTTTTACAGAGTTGGAATTGGAAAAAATGTACAGATGCCAATTTCAAGTTTGTTACAAACTTATACTTAAATATAAGGCTATACATTTAAGTCTAAAATACAACCTGATCATTTATATTGTGGTATTTAAGTGCTTATGGTATCAATATTGTTTTAGTAGGTAGGTTTTATTATAAATAAAAAATGTCTGAAAAGTTACCATGCAGTGAGAAATTTGTAACAACATTACAAAGTTATATACACAAGATCTGTAAATTGTCCATTCAGTACCAGTTGATCAGTTATGTATAAAGTATTGCATAGAACTTATAGGTCTTGTATGGAATACTATCATTACAAATTTCCTAGTGTACAGTAATGTTTCAGACACCACGTACATGTGGAGCTTTTATGAATGAGTCAAAGTTGAAAATTTAACAATTTTGGCTGTTTTGTGTAAAAACTCTATTAACTAACATTCAAAATTAATAAATAACAAATTATTGAGAACAACAATGCACTGAAAACAAAATTTAAAAAAGTCAAATGCATTTCCAGTAATATAAATTAATTTTTTTAGTAATTAATATTTGAAAAAATTTACCTGATACTTTGCCAGACATGCATCTAATCCAGCAAAGGCAACTGAACTGAAAATAAAATTTATAAGAATAATTTATATAAAATTCAGTACTTTTCAATTAAAAATTTTCAATTTTACAAAATAACAAATTTTCAAAATAACAAAAACAAATAAGAAAACTGACTTACTTTTCTACTTCAGTTTCCCAAGATGATGATGGAACTTGAGAAGCAAAATCATCTAGTATCTTTGAAAAAATATATTTGCTTATATAATTATTTTGTATGATGTACAGTACATAACATTAAGTATGATTATTAAAATGCAGAATAGAATATAACCCAGTATAGAGTTATATTAAGGGAGAGCAAGATTAACTGGTATAAAGCAATCATTGCTAGCTATGAATAAAAAATAGTACTGTGACTGTAGCTATATCCTGTTTTCAGTTATGTAACTTCATACTATGATTGGTTTCAGGTATTTTTTCATTATGGAAGAACATCAAGTTTTCAAACCAAATCGGTTAAAAGAAATTTTTTTTTTTAACTTTCTCGAAGTTTATTTTACTTTGCATGTTGCAAGCTAGAAGAGTGTGACTTGCTGTACTTTAGGGTATGATTAGTCTTCCAAACTGCCGTAACAGTAGCTGCTTTCATAATGCACTTGAAGAAATTTTTTTTTAAAAATAGATATCATGGCATTAACTGAATCAATTGATGCACAATTAACTAGTCTGGTGGACCAGCTAATTCTGCACCACTTGTCATCAGACTAGTTAATGAAAAGAGACAGAGAGTTGAGAAATGTGGTCCAAGGAAATCTAACAAGGAGAGCCTACGGCTTTGGGGTAATGGATTTTGATGATCTTTGGTGTAGAGGTAGTACACGATGTGAGTGTACTGTGAGTGTACCTGTAAAATACTAAAGTGCAATACTCAAGTATAATCGAGAAAATCGAACTTAAAGTTTTGTTAGCACTTTATATATAAATTATACGTATTTCTATTCGAGCGTCCTGTGGCAGAGTGGTAACGAGTCTGATTCGTAAGCTTGAGTTCTCGGGTTCGATTCTCGCGTATAATTTTTTTTTTAATTCATAAATACTTATAATGTATTTATTTATTTACTCATTCATTTATTTCTTATTATTTATTTATTTTAATTTAATTTCTACTATTCCAAGTCTAATATTTTTATACTTTTGTTGACAATAACGGCGCATTCTTGACACCTATGTGTCAACTTTCCCATCTAATTGTTATCACTAACGGTGACCGATCTAATTCTCACTAGGAGCGTTTTTTCTATCGGAGTTCTTTTTCACTCACTCTTTAACAGTTCGTTTCTAAATTTCGACACGAATAGACGTATTTGTGTAGTAAAACTTATTTTGAAAAATTATTTTATAATCAAAAAATGTCGTCAAGAGAAGCAAGTTCTTCACGTTGTGACGAAAAAACTGTTGATGATAACTCTTTATACAGTGATGTAAAATACTAACTTGTAAAGTGCAAAACTCAAATATAACCAAGAAAAACGAATATAATTTATTGAAGCAATATTATATAATTACATATCATTGTCAGATGTACATGATCGTGAATGATACTTATGATAAAAACATTCAAAACAAAAATTCTGTCTACACCAAGAACAACAAATAAATGCTGCTTTTTTAAAAGGTATCATCAACAGTTTTTTCGTCACAACGTGAAGAACTTGCTTCTCTTGACGACATTTTTCGATTATAAAATAATTTTTCAAAATAAGTTTTACTACACAAATACGTCTATTCGTGTCGAAATTTAGAAACGAACTGTTAAAGAGTGAGTGAAAAAGAACTCCGATAGAAAAAACGCTCCTAGTGAGAATTAGATCGGTCACCGTTAGTGATAACAATTAGATGGGAAAGTTGACACATAGGTGTCAAGAATGCGCCGTTATTGTCAACAAAAGTATAAAAATATTAGACTTGGAATAGTAGAAATTAAATTAAAATAAATAAATAATAAGAAATAAATGAATGAGTAAATAAATAAATACATTATAAGTATTTATGAATTAAAAAAAAAATTATACGCGAGAATCGAACCCGAGAACTCAAGCTTATGAATCAGACTCGTTACCACTCTGCCACAGGACGCTCGAATAGAAATACGTATAATTTATATATAAAGTGCTAACAAAACTTTAAGTTCGATTTTCTCGATTATATTTGAGTATTGCACTTTAGTATTTTACAGGTACACTCACAGTACACTCACATCGTGTACTACCTCTACACCAAAGATCATCAAAATCCGTTACCCCAAAGCCGTAGGCTCTCCTTGTAAGACTAAGAAAAACACTTTCATTTGAAGATCTGATAGTGATGCTTTAAAGGAGCCTAATTATAATGATGAAACTGATTCTAGTGACTCAGGATCAGAAACTGATGACAAGAAAGAACTTCGCATAAACATCACATCCTACCTAGTTGTTAAAATTTTTGGAAAGAATGGATCTACCTCATCAGAGTTTTAATATTGTGTGCAACAATGAGTATGATGCATTGCTGAAATGAGAGCCTTAGTCCTTCAGTTTTACTTTAGATATCCATGACAGACAGGTTACATGCTGGAGGAGCACATTGTGCTTTGACTACCCAACAAAGGTTCAAGGTAAGTTGAATTGCAAATTTTATTTTGTAGTATAAACAGTCTTAGTACTTTGTGTTACATTTGAAACTTACATCTCTACATACACTTTTACTGAAATTAAAATGTCTTTGTTTAAATGCAAGTGTGTGTGATTCTAATTTACATAGTCCGATTAACCTGAAAATGGGGTTATCTGGATGAAGAGATGGGTTACAAAATTTCTGATTGTAACTCAATGTATTCACCAAATTTTTCTGAAATAATTTCTGTATTAACCTAAAGCCAGCTTTTTCTGTTGAATTTACTGCAGCATTTACTGTTGAAAAAGAATTTGGTTCCGTCAACATTATTCTCTTCTATATAAGAATATCTAATCAAGTTAAATAGTTAAATAAATCAGATGGTCAAATATAAAGGTATTAAGTTTAAAAATCCTATGATTATCAAAATGGGAAATACCTTATTAGCTCTTAGCAATCTTACCTTACTATCCTTAACAATTAAAAGTTTAAACTACAAACAAAATACTTAGATGAACTTTCATAAATAAAACCAGATGTTAAGAAAATAAAAATTGTGATTTAGTGATCGGAAGAGATGAATGGGTTCATAGAATAACTTGAAACTGTAAGGAAGTATTTATTGATTTAAACTAAAAACATGAATTAACTAACTTTAAAGACTGATATAAAGTCAATCTAAAGTGATAATTGAATGTTTTTTTTTTCTTTTTTCTGTTTGAAAAATGGATTTAATGAATCTGAAATTATATCAATCAAGTAACCTATCAAATAATTTACTTTCTAAAGTTATGGCAATGTAATACAAAAAAAATAATGATAATAATAATAATCTTACAAAAGTTCAAATGTAACCTTTAACAAATAAATAAAATAATATTGTACAATACATATCATTGAGAAGCCTGCAATTCATAAAACATTGTAAATTCTTGCAAAACTTGTCATCTTATACAGCATGCATTAAGTCATTTTTAACTTTTTAAAAACCACCTTAAAATGTTCAAATGTCTGATGTTTGATAACAGAATTTTACTGCATTATATATTTTTGAGATTTCAAAAAAATAAAAACAGTATCTTAAAGAGACATTCATAAGGAAATAACAGAATTTGTATGAGTTAAAAAAAAAATAGTACTTACTTTATTAAGTAATGTATGAGCTACTCGATGTGGATATTCATGATCCGATATCAATGTAGCTGCTAATTTATCACTTCTTACATAAACATGACACATATATTCTGCAAAGATATTTTTCTAAGTAATAGTTCTACATATTTTAAAATATAACCAAAATATAAATTGTTACTAATAGCCCTCAACATGGAAAAATGTCCACATGGGGGCAATATTGCCTTATACCATGTGGACGATAACACTGCTCTATACAGTCCCGATCTCTCTCCATCGGGTAGAAATCACCTCCTATTAGGATAGGATAGCTTTGTATGAGTTCAGGAGGTGATGAATGTCTTCTATGGTGAATGTCTCAATGTTAGTGGTTTCTGGAATGTAGACAGAACATACGTAAAGGTGAGTGTTATTGTCTGTAACAATGTATTCTGTGGGTGTTGGGAGACAAGGCAGACAGTAATGTTTTTGTTCTTGATGATAATACCAGCCTTGATGCAATATCCAGGGTCCTGAGCTGGATAGACTTTCCAGTTATTGAACCTGTCTTTCATGTTGTTAATAGTGTAGGGCTCTTGGATCATCATGATGTCTGTATTGTGTACATTGAAAGTGTGAATGAGGAGGGAGCAGGCAGCTTTGCATTTCTGGGCATTAATTTGATTAATCTGTATAAGTTTATAGCTGCCTATGTTCTTATTGTGAAGGGGTGTATTATTCATAGCTGACCCTACTGACAGCTTGTATTTTCATGCATTTGGTTATGGGGCACTGTTGAGAGAATGTGTTATGTGCTGTCTTGTGTTTACTCCCTTCTGGTTATTGGCCTTTGCACAATTTACACACCACAGTTCCTGACTGTGGACACGGCAAACCTTGTGGTTGCCTACGCAATCAATGACTGTAGTGTTGTTTTTCTGTACATTTATTAGCTAGATGACCATAACCACAGCATTTGTAGCAGTGTGTGAGAGGGATGTAGTTGTCTACAGCTATTGTTGCCCATACTAACATAATGCTGTTGAATTAGCGTGTTCCTGATACTAGGAGGACAATGTGTAATCTAGATGCATCTGTCTAGAACTGTCTAGATCTGTCTTATACCAAATTTGTCATGAGAAAGCATTGGCAAACTTGAAATATTCAAAAAGTATTCACCATACAGAATATCTTTTCACTTTTGATTAAGCACTTCAATACTCTTCATTTATATGCCCCACAATAAACTTATAGATGCTGTCTGTCAGAACAATTTTGAATATTCTAGAGAGGTAAAACTTTCTGGAATTTTTTAGACATCAACTCAAAAAAACAAAAACAACAAAGGTTTTTAAATGGGAAACATTAGTTTTCAAAACATAATCTTTCAGAGTAAAAAATTGTACTTACAGCTAGCTACCTGTCTTAAGTGCAAGAGGCCATGTAGAGAAACAGTTTCCATCCATTTTTTTATGGTGTCCATACGATTATCTTTTGAGTATTTTAATCAGACAAGAAATGTTTTTTTATGCTCTATGACTTTGTAATTTAAACTGTGCCACTATCTTCTGTAGGTGAGTGAGACAGGATATAAAGTAGAGGATTACAAGTATGTATCCTCTACTTTATATGTATAGTAAATTACAGTATAGAATAACCCACTACAAATTACCTATATTTTTGTGCATTCATATATAGCTAATATATAACAGAAAGAAGATATAGTCTCTTGTGTTTTTGTCTACACCCAGTACAGACCCACTATAAGATAAATTAAATAGACATAGTAGGGAAATAGTAAAACCAGCATGAATTATTTATATTTTTTCTGTTTTTAAAACAAAATATTTTCCCAAAAAGTTTCTTGACTTTTAGCTACTAGTATATATGGTATTAGCAATAAATTTTAAAGGTAAAATTACACAATTATTATAAAATTGTTCAGAAATTTAATCAATCATAAATATTTTAATTTTTCTTCCAAAAAGGAAAATTTTATAGGAATAAAACCACAAACATGGTAAAAAGATGAATTAAAAACAATATTAAATGAATTATACAAGTTATTGATTAGTTAGAAATACATGTTTTTCCAAACCCAATTATACATTGTAAAATCAAAGATCTATTTTAAAAATAAATGTTCAGTTTGATGAGGAAACATTTGGGTCTTAAAAATGTTTAATCCAAGCTAATTAGTGACTTCTTTAGTGTTTTTGCATCTTGATAAAATATGGAGCCATATGAAATAAAGCACTATTTATGTAAGATAAAAAAAAGTTCATGTAAATTTTAAAGTAAATAAACTGTCTAAATATTTGAGTAATTGATTATCACTAAAATTAAAAATTTATCAATAACTTTATTATAATTATTTTGTAAAGACTTTTTACCGTTTTATAAAATGCTTTTGATTGAGAACTTAAATCTTCAGATTTTGCAACAAGATCATCCAATTTTTCTCCTCTTTCTAAAACTGCTTCTATGGTGTTATGCTGTAAAGATGAATTAACATGAATTATGTAAAGAACATTAAGTAATAATTTTAATTTAAAAATTTCAACATTTAAACAAATTTTCTTCCTTAAAATAAATATTTAGATTACTAAATTAGGTAAAGAATATCTGTAAAGTAAATCATCCTATTTCNGGACGTACTTTTCCTTTGTTTAAGGGTATTTGGGCAGTTTATTCTCTGTTATATTCTGTACAAGTAAATACTGTACAAGTACAGTACAGTATTTTCTGAGGAAATACTCGTACTTATTTTTTTTAACCCCATTCCCGATAACTCGGCATTTTCACAAACTCGGCCACCCTTCGGTCCACATTAGGTCGCGTTTTCGAGGTTCTACTGTACATCTTTATAATTGCATCTATGTATTAAATAAAATGTGACCGTGGTGATGATGGAATGGATATAAGACACCTGAGATTTTTAAAATATTATGGCTTCTGTTTAGGCTTGATAAAATATAAAATGATAAATTTCATAAAAGAAAAATTGATTTATAAAGATGTATATTTTGCTCTTTTTTCAATAATCACATTATCTACATATATATTGTATATGCACAATAACTTGAGCTCCTGAAGGAATGCATTATACCATTGTGCATTACAGGTAAGTTAGAGTGGTCCTGTGTTTGCAAAGGTAGTATGGTGGCATCATCAAAGCAATTCAAAGTTGTTCATAGCAAGGGCAGAATTATTATTAAAAATGTGATATTGTTTTGTGATGAAGCTGCTGCTTGAAACTTAAGTATCTAGTTAAGCAAGTGATAAAAAGCTGCTGGATTAACAGGAACATCAGTGTATACAGTAAAGAGAATCCAGTGATATATAAACATCTTAAACTCAATAGTTATATTTTAATTAAAATGTCTCAATGTCCTTTTTTTTTACTAAATTGTAAATTTTTTACTATAAATTTGTATCTTCTATTATCAGGACTTATTATACTGGCTTTACAGATAATGCTACAAAGTTTAACAGCAAACAATTTTAACATATAACATATTAAAATATATGTTTAATGTTAATATAACTATTGAGGATGGGTTGCACTGATTTATTTTATATAACAAACAAGATGTTTCTATCTATGGCACATATTCTTCAATAATAAAGCTGTGAATTCAAATTTTTACAAAAAATGTATAACAAAAATCAGATATTTTTAAATTTGCTTGCAATTATTTTGAATAACTATACTTATATGTTCATTAAAAATATTAAATGTAATACTGTATAAATAAATAATGATTAAAGTTATCAAAATTAAACAATATATTTATCCTAATGCTCTAGTGTAGCAATTTATGAAAGCACTTTTTGGTGCATCAAACAATTACTTAACTTGTGTTTTTCAGAAATTTGAATAGGCAATAATTCAAAACTAAATAATTACACATGCAAAATTGGAAATGGCTGCAGTTTCTCAAAGTGTACTAACTGATTTTGTATTTATTAAAGTAGCATATAACAGGGTTTGCTTGTTTTTACAGTTTTATTTCAGTACAAGTATAACCAGTGTTACATGAAACTAGATTTGTATATTCTCATTTTAAATAAAAAGTAAAATGCTTAATAATATAGGTAACTTTGCACAAGTTCACTAATATTAAAATTTATTATTTATAATTAATATTACCTTGCTCTCTTACTGATGTTCTTGTAGGTGCAGGAGTTCTATCGACAAGAATTTGACTAGTGAATTTCATAAATTCTTGTACACTAAAACATGAAAAATAAATAGTTAAATTCCATTTATACACTAATATTAAAAAGATATGTGAACAAATTTAATCAAAATTATCAAAACACATACAAAAAAAAAAAGTTTTGATTCAAAAACAATTCCAAATTTATAATTTACCTAATTATAATATTTTTTAAAACAGTTTTTGCCTTTTTTTAAAAATAATAAAATACATAGATGGGAATACACAGATGTCACTATAAATTCTATAATTTTGAAGCATAGGCTATCAACAACAGAATTTAACTTAATATATATAAAATATAGAAGATACAAAAATGTCTTCACTTCCGCTCTTTTCAACACCAGGAACTAACAAACAACCTTTTATTGTAGGCTACAACTGCTAAAATATGCAAAAATTTTCAATGATAATAAGTGATAAAATCTTGTAAAAACTGTATACTTAATTTAAAAATGGCAGTGTCATAAGTCAGTGCAATAAAAGGCTGTCTCTGCAAAGAGAGACTGTTAGTTCCTGGTGTTGGAAAGGGCAGAAGTAAAGATGTTTTTGTATCTTCTGAATTTTATATATATTGTAAATATGCAGTCTGCTATTTTAAAATTAAATATTAAAAAAAATTAAAATTTAACTTTGTTAAAAATTAAATAAATGAATATATAAAAGCTGGCTAGTACTCTTGTTTAACTTTCTCAACACTCAAACAGGAGGTTAAAGGAAAATTTAAAATAATAAAAGTTTGAAAGGAGTATTTTTAGAATTAAAAGAAATTTTGTTAAATTGTAATAAATTTCTCTTTTAAAAAAAATTTAAGTTTAAAAAACTTTAAGACATCAGCTCAAAGTTAAACTGTCTGTGGTACCATCTGTTATGAGATTTTATTAAAAAATTAATTTTTATATTATTAATTGTTATAAAAAATGCAAAAAGGACTTATTTTTGAGGATAGATGATTGAGTTTTTAAAAAAATTGTAAATGTCAATAACCAGTAAAGTTTTCATTAAATCTATCTCTACTGCAGATAGGACGCACAACATTCCTTTATTTCCCCACTCCTTAACCTTTAAATGTCAAAATTTAATAATATCAATGCCCCATATAGAGAAATAAGTCTGCCAAATTTCAAAATTTTAGGCTCATCCCATTCTGAGATGTGATGCAAAATAGAAGCCACCACAACATACACAATTTTGTACATGTTTTTTAAATCATGGGCTCATGTCACATAAACACTTTGAAAACCACAAAAACCTGGAAAGTCAAAATTTGACCAATTGCCATACTTAATAATACCTAATGTATCTTAAATTTTAACATTATTGTATACAACAAACAACATAACAGTTTAAGAAAATTTACCTGGTATATTAGTATAACTTGGTCTATGTTTTATCATTGTCAATTTGGCCAATTTAGGGCTATACAAGTTTGGCCATGGTTATACCATCTTTATGTCTATAATAATGATTATCATATACTGGTACAAAATAATTATTATGTAAAACAAACATTATTAACTGTAATAAATTAGGATTACAATTTAACATTGCTAACATATTTGCTATCATATCGTAAGTGATTGAAGGGTACATGTTTTTCACATCAAGTGAACCCATTTTATAATTTGGCAATAAAATCAAATATTTGATTATATTGTAAGTATAAATTTAAAACATTTGGCAAATATCATTTCAGTAAAGCACAACAAATTAATCATCAGTTTTAATGTCAAACAAGTGTATTAAGTAAATGCTGCCATTCCTATAAGCTATAATTTATCTTTGTATATATACTGTTCATTTAACAACTCTACATATATGTATTTAATTTTCTAATGTCAAAAACCTTTTCTTAGATATTGTAACATGCAATTACAAATTTATAAAATTAGGGAATTAATGGTAAAATACCTGAGGTGATAAAGACACTAGTCCAGTCATAGTGAACCATCTTCTAAAGATGGGATAAAGTAAGTTTGAAATTTATTAACTCCAAATTGTGGTCAAATATTTAATAATTAAAAAAACTTATAAGTTTTACTTTATTTAGCTTATTAATCTATGTGACAAAAACAACAGAAAATATAAACTATGGCTATAGCGGAAACAAATCCCAGTTAATGAGAAATCTCTCATTTATTTGATAATTTTTCTGAGATTCATAACTTGTGGTCTTTTAAAACTTTTCATGACCTCATTTTCACACTATAGATGCAAAATTTTGAAACTACCAAATAATTTATAAAAACATATCAGAATCAATTCAATGTGGGTACCTTGAAATTGTTTGCTGGTCACAGGGTCAGAATTTGCATGAATGACTAAAATGTGTCTGTCTATCATCAGCAGTTAAATTCAGACACAAAAAGAAAACTAAAACAGTCCTTTTCAATTTATAAAAATTACTTGTACACACAAGAATATATGTTTGTTTCTTTTATAAAATCTGTACCATTCTTAATGTGTATGCAGATTGACATTTTACAATGATAAAATAATCAATGTAATTCCTGAAAGGCACTGTTTCCCAAACTTTTGGTGCATATATGTATATATTTTATGTTTGTTTCAAAATGAAATTTTGTCCCCTTTGTCTTCCACACCTCTATCACCTCTTGCCTTCCAGTGTCCTCTTGAGTCTTCTACCAGTCAAGGGAGCAGTAGCATCCACTTTGAGAACCACTGTTGTACAGGAATCTCAATGTACTACAATCATTCAAAAAGAGAACCCTCTAAATTCAATTCTAGTAAAGCTTTGTGTAGTATGTTGCAAAAACACAATTGTTCTTTTTTTCAAATGAAAAGTATTTTATTCTACCAAACCCTAACACTACCCAATTTCCACATTGTAGGCCTGGCAAAACTTAAACGAGAATAGAAAAAGACTACTTTAATGCCAATAGAGTAGGGTAAAACTACACCTTATAAATATTTATCTCAGAATGAATACATAAAAGTTTATCATCAGTTTTAGCTTAACTTTGTAAAACATTTTCTCCAATCTCATAAAGCAAAATAACTATTCATAATGTCTTACTTTATACAATTTAAAATTATATACAAATAAAAAATAAAATAAAACTTACCTATTTCTTTGAAAAAATCCAAATGAAGAAAGATCATTTGCTGATTTTAAAGTAATAGCTTTTGTAGGATGTTTATATAAAACAGCTAAATAATACAGTTTCACCATGATTTCAAATTCAGAGGTTATCGAGAGGAGAATGAAGTAAATTTAGTCAATTTTATCTGTAAGAAATCAGTTATTACACCCATTTAATTTTGTTGTAAAATTTAAACTAAATTAATTCACAATATTATACTTCATAAAATTAAATTTATTACAATTATAACATTAATTATCAAAATTTTTAAATTTATCAAAGTACATCTGCAAAAATACATACTGTAAAAATTCAATGACAACTTAAAAAATAGTCTATGTAATTTTTTTCAATTAAAAAATATTTTTAAATAAAATATATAAATTAAAAAAATTGATGCTTTTGAAAATTTCTTATTTACATAAAACATTGGCATACTTACTTTAAATCTGATGTTAAGATTGACAAAATTAATAAAGCATGATTTGAACAGTTGACTACTATAATAAATGTGTCCTATTTTTTTATTGATACAATTAGAATTACTGACTATTTTGATTAAGCAGAATTTGAAGAATTATGAGCAAGCAAACATTTGCCAAATACATAGTAGTGTGGCTGATTTACTTGTAATTAAAATACAGTATTTGCTGTTTCCCCTTGTTGGTATAGTGTGCTGAATCAATGGGGACAGACAATTATTCAGCATTCAGTCAATCCAAATCCATAGAACCAGCTTTATGTATTGATCAGACCACACCCAAGAAGTACATGTCTTGATAATGTTTCTCATGCCACAATCTTTTTTTTTTTTAGTCACTTCTTACTGTACAGTGGAATAGAGTTGCTTTCTTCATTATTTTGAGAAATAGTCTGAGGGATCCGATGACAAGGGCGCCCCTCAACAGCGAAAAGAGGAATTAGTGGAGTCACACGACTGGAGAGTTGTTGGACTGTTGTCACGCCATTTTTGAAACTGTGTATCCATTCCGAACGAACAATAAAGTGTATTGTTCTTAATCTCAAACCTTTCTGTGTTGTTGCACATAGTCACAACAAATAGTTTTGGTTTTTCATATTTAAATTTTTCCCATTTTTGAGATCTGTCAACATTGACAGATAGGCAAGTTTAAGAAGACTATCTGGTGAATGGCCACATATAAATTATTAGTTCCTTACTTTTTCTTTACTCTTACAGGCCTGACCTACAGCACCAACAGATATTTTAATGATCTCATTCATTGCTGCATTTGTACTCACACACTCTTCTTGTACACTTTAAATCAAGGATGGCAAACTATGGCATACCAGAAGAATTTGGTTTATTTGTTTACCATGTATTTTCAGTTTATCTTAATTTCAATTTCTTACACTGATTTTATATTTACTGTAGTTCAGTTTATAGTAATCTTTTTTTTCAATTTTTCTTAAATTTATTAAAAAAAAAATATTCAAATTTCTATAAAAACATTCACATATGTCAAAGTATTAAAGTTTGAACAAGTCTTTAAAAATCAAGTGAATATAACTAATAAATTAAATTTATTAAATTTGATCAAACTCTAATGCTTCGACATACACAAACATTTTTATAAGCTTAATTAATATGCCTATTTTTGTGTACATTAATAAAGATTTGCCATCCTGGTTTAAATAGACACAACATGTTTTTCTGCAATCCTGAAGGAATGCAACTTTTGTATATTTTCATTGATATATATTTCTTTTAGTAATAAAAATTACATACTATAGCTTAGCATTTCAATCAATAAGGCAAATGCAACTCTAAATGTGCAATTATTTATTGTGACATCTTCACAATGCCAGGTTGCAATTTTTAATCATATTCTTAATTTATTTAATTTAAAATATATGTTGGAAATTGTAAATGCTAATAATGAGTAAAATCTCCATTAAGTCTGACCCCACTAGAGATATAATACACGACCCCTCTCTCCCTATCCCTTGATCTTTAACCACCGAAATTGAATGGCATAATACCCCTAATACAAGCCTCCCTCCGAAAATTTCCAAAATTTTCAACAAAAAGCACAGGAGTTATTAAACTTCAAAGACAGTGAACAAAACCATGCCCCCCACATACAGGAAAAAAACCCTGAATTTTTTTTGCATTTCTTGACATTTTAATGCCCTGAGTCCAAAAATATAAAAATCCTGAAAAGTCATTTATAGAAACAACCAATGATCACCTGAATGATCAAGATAAAATTTGGCTAATTAAATGATTAATACAAAGTAATTTGTCACTACAGGGAGGTGTTAGGCACCATTTCTTAACTAAATTAATAATTATAATTTTTAATAATTTATTAAATAATTTAGAACTTTCTGGAATAAAAAGAACTGACCCGTGACAGGGCTTAAACCCTCAACCTCTGCTTGCCACCTGGTGCACTTACCAGTTGCACCACCCGGACCCCGAGCATATCTTCACTTTCAGAGGAATTTAAATTTGGATATAACTTACTTGATTAATCATAGCAATGGATTGCCAAACGACGCCTATACCCAGTCATTTTTTGACCAATTGCCATACTTTCTCTCTGTTATATACAACAGAGCCAGGAAAGTAATAAATTACATAAATCATCCTTGATCAAGTTATTACGTATGTATTATTAACTTTAGTAGTCAGAGATTTTTTTGTAAACAAAGGAGAGAAAAGCGTGATTGTTTTGTTATTCTTTTCTCTACCACCATTGATCTGTAAAAAATGCCATAACCCCAATATATTAAAAGGAATGTAGCATAACACTCTTCTGCAGGTAAATATACCCTCATATAAGGTAAATCCAGCATTCAAGTAATTTCTCCAGAAATATGGGAAAGCTTGTCCCCAACGAGTACACTCTTAGAAAAAACTATGTGAAACCAGTTTATGATCAAACAATACCTAAAACCCTGAATGTTGTCGGAGACAAACCTGTAGTGTTTATGCTGGATGAAACAACAGATTCTAGAAAACAGTACCGTGCTAAATGTTCTTGTTGCACCACTGACTGGATACTATGTACAAACAATGTCGTTCAAAATGTACAGTAACAACTTGTAAATAGGAACTCAACTATAGTGTCCCAAGCTTCAATGATATGCTTGCATCAAGTTGTGGCCAAACAGTGTCCAGTACAAAAAGGTTTGGCTTGCCAGATCAAGCATCTTACATGTTGTCAGCATTGTCAAATTTGAAGTGCATCTACAACAACCTAAAGCATGTGACTTGTCTTGCCCATGCCCTACACCGAATATGTGAATGTATTCGTGTATAATATAGCAAGGCCAACAACTTCATTTCGAAAATGAAAGTGGTTCTTCTCAAGTGCCAGTAGTCAGAAGTGCTTGTACCAAGACATAACTGCGCTGCCATTACCACTCAGTCCAGTGGTCACATGTTGGAAGGTCTTGGATTAACACTGTGGTATTCTACTGTGAGAACTTTGAGAAAATTAATACGTTTAACAACAAACTTCCTTCTGGTAATTCTGTGGCAGTCGACAATGTCAAGAAACTGGTCGCTGATCCAGTATAGACCACAGAGCTCTAATCCTAGTATTCGTACAAGTTATTGGTGGATAAAATCGATGAGCTGGAAAGATGTGAAACTGAAATGCAGGATCAGTGGAATGTTTTAAGTCAGATGCTTGATGTACTAGACAGTTTTGCCGTGGACAAACTCAGATCAAGAGTATCAAAAAATCCCGATTTGAAAAATATTTTTGATTGCACCAAACTAGAAGTCCAGGTAAAAATGTGCACCAAACTAGAATTCCAGGTAAAAACATGCCCCCCTAGTTTTGGTCGATGTAGGAAAATCCTTTTCCTTATATAAAGACATCCTATCTTCCAAACGTAAAAACTTCATTTTTAAGAACAATGAAATGGTTACAGTTATAAATTACAATGCTCATCTTTATGTATAAATTTCAAAACATAACTATGTAGTTTGTAAATATAATACTTTGTGTTGGTTTTTGTCTTAATAATACAGCATTTAAAAGCACCCAAATGGGAGAAAAAAGAACACAATCCATTCTAAAAATGCACCCAAAAAATCCGAACCTTAATAATAAAGTATATTTATATTAATCATCTTAAAAAAGGGATTAAAAGGCTTAGTGTTAATTCAATTGAGAAGTCAAACCAAATACAGTGATACCTCAGGATACGAATGCCCCAGCATATGAAATTTTCAGGATACGACATGAAATTCGAACATATTTTTGCTCCACGATACGAACAAAAACTCACCATACGACGTTACATTAGTTCGCATTTTTCATTTGTTTTTCTTACTACAGTTNATAAACCAGCAACGAGTTTCTCAACTTTCCCGGCAACATTTAAAATTTTGGTTTCCATTAATAACTTTAATATAAAAAGTTTATAAGCTAATTTATTATACTTAAATATCATTAAATTGTAATGATTTAGTATTTAGTATCTACAACAGATGGCGCCATCTTAAATTCGAGTTACTTGAGAGTGATTCGTTTTAAATTGCGAGATGGTCACATAATTTCAACATTTTCATCTTACGATCTCAGTTTCGGAACGGATTAATTTCGTATCATGAGGTACCACTGTATCAGAAATGTCATCTGAATAACGTACTGTATTAAATGTATTAATCATTTATTAAAATTATCACAGTAAACCATTTCTGTAAGTTTCTTGACTTTGATCAAAAAAACATTTTATTATTTTCAATGGAGAACATGGATTCTTGATGGTTCCATATAAGTTATGTTCTGAGCAAACTGGCACAATGACTAATACTTCTGGCAATCATACTTTGCATTGTTAATTAATAAATTAATTGACTTATGTCACAATTACTTGAAAGAATGTCTGATGTCCATACATTCTTTCAAGTACAATGTAGTTAACTAAACAATATGAAGTAATTGGCAACATAAAAACAATCTAGTTGTTTAAAAATGAAAAAATTTCTTTGAGAAACAGGTAGATAATGCTGAAAAATAATCAGATGTAATAATTGACTATGGACAAGACTGAAGCTTATTCCTTAATAAATATAAAAATATATAACTCTAAAATTTTATTAAATTTTAGAGTTATATATTTTTTCAAACTGAAAGTGTACTATAACATGACACTTTCAGTTTGAAAAAACATTTCATACTGAAAACACAGACACCAAAAGCTAACAAAACCAATGTTTGGCACCATGATTAACTTGAATTATTGTTATTAATAAAGTTGTTACTGTTTTTAAATATCATTTTTAATTCAAAATTTATTATTAATTTAACAAGTAATAAAGTTTGCAATGGCATAATTATTCACTGATTATTCTAATTATTTGAGAATTGTCACATGACAATTGATGGAAGAGCCAATTAGCAAATGAGTATTCAGAACATCTCTGGTATAAAACTTCTTTAATAGAGTGAAATGATCTATATGTATGTCTAAAAATGGAAAATTGCAGTTCTTACCTTTAGTAATTGTCAGAATATAAGGTGCATAAAACTAATAGTCATGATAGAAGTTCAAATGAATAACAGTTTATTAAAAATACAGTTTATTAATTTGCATGTTTAATATCAGTTTAGAAATTCTTTGAGAGAAATGACAAACTGGTAAAAAAAAACATCTAGAAAAAGTATCAATAATTAATTACCTTACACAAATTCTGTACTAATGTTCTATAATTAAAATTTTACGTATGGAAATTCTGTTTCTAATAACAGTAATAAATGGGCTTTGTACTACATACATAGTTTTTTTGGGCAATCAAACTAGATTGCCTAAGATAGACATACACAAAGACAGAAAACATGCATAGCTTCACAGCTTTTCCTCCTGATAGTCACTTGTACTATGTAAACCATGAAGCAAAAAGAAGACAAGTAATGTAAGAAAGATAAAGGAACTATATTTACAAGAACAGAAAAAAGGGTTATACTTATACAGCTCTACTTGGTGATGAAAAGATTTGAACCTAACATTCTCATTATATAAAGAAATATTTTCCCGAATTAAATAGATACATAAAATTTTGAAAAATAATTCAAATATGAAAAATAAATCATATCATTACAAAATACAGTGGAACCCCGGTTAACGAACTTAATCTGTTTCGCAACTCCGTTTGTTAACTGAAGCAATTTTTCCCATAGAAATTAATGCAAATGCAATTTATCTGTTCTAGCTGCCAATATTTTTCTGATTTTTATTTGTAAAATACTGTAGGTTTACTTTGATGAAAACGTAAGAAAACATAGTATCTATCATTACAGCAACAAACATGTAAACTTAATAGCACTGTACTGTACATACCTTTATTTGTTGTAGCTGATGGCAGAGGGGTGGAGATATACGAAGCTCAATGCTTAGAAGGAAAATCCCCTCCAAAAAAATAATGGGTAGCACTTCATTGGGAAATTCTTTGAGTCGAGGTTTCTTTTGGTAATGAACAAGAAATTGATCTAAAGTTGATTGTCTTACTCTTTTAATCAAAATTTTTCTCAAATGTGATAGCACATTGCCCCTATCACTTTTCTCTTTCTTGTATGCCATATTGATTAAATATATAAATCATGAAACTGAAAAAAGAAGTTTAGCACAAACACTTGGAAAAGCAATACTTAACTCGTGCATGCCTAACAGAAACAAAAATTTGACACAAAAAACTGTTACATTCATTATCCGAATTCCGTCCATTATCCAAGATAAAATTTTTGCAAAATAAAAGTTCGTTAACCAATTTGGTCGTTTACCAGGACGTTCGTTAACCAGAGTTCTACTGTAAATCTAAGAAGTTCAAAAGCAATCTTTCATTCTGAACACAACCACAACTGTCATTACTTGGCAATATATCAACTATACAATTAAACAAAAAGTAGTTCAGATTAAAAATAAAAGTGTAGTTCACAGAAAAACATACAAATGAAGACCCAATCATTAAGGTTATCTTTTGTATTATAATATTTTAATTTATTAAATTCAAAAATATTATAATACAAAAGATAATCTTAATGATTTTTGCTTGCATTTCTATTAGGAAAATAAGAAATAAACTTTAAAATTATTTCAGCATTAGAATATATAAATGTCCCTAATGCTGAAAAAAACATTTTAAATTCAAACAAATAACTACTTTCCAAGGCCAAGATATGTTACAAAATTTAAAAAGTTTGATAATTTCTTAATCTACAGTATTTTAACATTCAAGCATAAATTCACAAACTCAAAATTCACGTAGGCATAACAATATTTATAAATTCTTCAAAATAAATAAATTAATATAAAAAAAAAAGTAATATATTCTTTCAAATAATGAAATGTGTATCTATTTTCAACTTATAAGCCAAGATTTCACCATTCAGTAAAACTGCATTGGCCATAAAAGTAAAAAAAACAACCACTCATACCTTTAAATGTGGCGCAAATTTTACTTTTCTAACATTTTCGGTCATTTTAAACGTCCTTCCTCGGGACAAAAACGCCCGAACTACATTTAAAGGTACGAGCGCTTACAACATACCGAACTATAAATAATTTAAGTCTGCACGGCTTTACGATCACAAATGGCTTATTAAATGTTATCAGGAATGTTTATAGGTTGTGACTAATGATAAGTAAATAGCTTAACAGTAGTTTATTTTTGTTTATTTTGTTAAATCACAGCAGTAGTTTGCATACAATTTACTAATGAGTTTAATACTGCATAATACCCATTATATATTTAATTTCAATGGTTTGAGTGTAATGCCTTTTAATTTTTGCTTTCAATTCTTCTATTAATGCTTCAGTTTTAATTCACAGCTTTCCCAATGAGTATAAATTCATTGAAACTGTCTGAAAGGAATGTATTATAAGAATTTTTGGTAGTAATTACCGTTAGGTAATTTGTACGAATGAAAATACGTAAACAAATCCCCTAAAAGTAACTTCTTCCAAACTGTAAAATATGTTTCAATTACATTTCATTCTACAGGTTATTTTGCTGAAATAATGACTTATTTTTACTTAATACGTTAGTTAATTAAACGCTCATATCTTAAAATTAGTTTAATATTTACCTCGAATTCAATATAAGAACGATTTGTATTCTTAAAACCAAATATAAATTGAACTAAATTATGCACAACACTAAAGGAACAATATTTCCATAAGAAACTTGGTAACGTGGTAGCAGTGTTGCCAAATCGTTCGATAAATTAGCCGACAAACGAATTAATAAAAATCGCCCAAAATTCGCCTTCGTTCGGATGTAAACATCGGTATATAACTGCTAAAAATAGCATTATATTTATTGATAATGTTTAATTTATCTCAATACATAATTATTGATTTAAAGCTTTTGAAATACATTTTATATTTTGTTCTTACTTTCTCATATTTGATATACCTGCCGAAGTATCAATTATTTAGCTGAGGTGTAATGCTGTATTTGAGATTTGTTTACTATAATCTACTTTATATTATGTTATAAAGCATAAATAAATGAAATAAATTTCATTAATTAATGCTTCTAGTCTTTTAAATATTATTTTATTAATATTAGTCTATTCAGTTTACAATCTATTAATAGGACTTATTATATTGATTTAACTTGCGGAAGAAAGGTCGAATCTCTTGGTTCAAAAGAATAAGCTTTTATTTGCACCAGGTGTAAATAAGGCTTCAATCCACTCTTGAGAACTCGGGATCAAATCCACAATCCCAGAAAATTTTCGTGGACAGTCTGTCCGGATATGTCGGACCCCGCTGGCCGCTCCCTTTGTGGGCTTAGTTGGATCGACGATGGATGTGGAGAAAATAGGCTCTTTTAGTGTCCACAGAGCGAAAGGCCTACCAATGGCCTAGTGGATATCTGGTCAAAGGTTTTATTCACTGAATACTGGTGGTTGTGCGGCAACTTAATAAATTTATTTGTAATTTCAGCTGGCAACAAATGCTAAAAGAAAAATACTTTGGTGTGAGTTTTCGATCAGGATAGTCGATGTATATACGCTGTGCAATAAATTCAACATTACACGGAGTCAGTTTCCTTTCTCATTTATTATAGACACGCAATCACCATAGTTGGTTGAGAGTTGCGCCCGATCAATGAACTCGCTACGTGTAGTTTCTCGAGTTTTCTTCAATGTCAGACACAGGAAGAAAACCTAGAAAAACGTAATCTAAACGGGCAGTTTCCCATAGAAAGTGTTTCCAGGAAAATTAGTTTAGTGTTCATACAACAAAATGTACTACGAGTCGACTAGCTATTGTCATTGGGAAGAGCGGGAAGAAAATAACGTGCATTGTCAATATATATATATATATATCTATGTATGTATTATAAAAAAATTATATTAGTGATAATTTTTAAAGTTAATTGACTACAAAGAAATCAATATCGAATATCTAAAAATACCCATCAAGATACAATACCTAAATATATTAAAAACAGAAGTATAAGGAATAAGTCATATGGAACACCATATGGTTTGTTTCTTATATGAGTATGTGAATACTCAGCTATACTACGGAATGGTCTTCTGGTATATCAAGAGTCATAGCAGTCACCCCCCACCAAGTAAAAAAAAATCACTAACTGACTATATGTCAACGAGTTAAAATAGACTATATAGAATGGCTGTAGCGACGTCATGTTTAAAGAAAATTGAATACACATCCGTGATTTTTTTTTTAGTTAAGCGAGCGTGCCATTTGTTTTGTATTGATATAAAGACAATGAGCTAGAATATTCTAACCTGTTGTATAAAAGTGTGCGAAGGAAAGGAAGAGTTTTAACCCTTGACTTAGATGGTGAGAGTCAAAATAACCCTACTGGTATTTTATTTTTATTTTTTTAATTTTGAAAGTAAATTACAAGATATATTTCCTTTTTAACCTTTTATTTAAACGTTTCTAAACAAGACAAAATATTCCGTAGCAATAAGTTAAATGCATTTTTAAACATTCTTAATTTCACTTTCCCGGCTGTTATGTATATATGGATCGTGTCAAATTTGAACCTCGGAGTTTTTTTTTTTTTTTTTTTTTTTTTTTTTTTTTTTTTTGTAAATCTTCATGTTTTGAGACCCGAACCAAAAAAAGTCAAAAAAGAAAAGGAAAAAATATTCTGTGTATGTGTATGTTGGCGTCTATAAGAAACGAAATTTGGCATGATAGCTTGTGTGTAAGGAGCATTGATGTTCCTTATTAATTTGATTTAATAGCATCAATGCTCCTTATTATTATTTAAATTAATAATAGCATTATAGCTCCTTATATTAAGCAAACAAACAATACAAATACTGTACTTCGTAAGGGTTTGCGGGATAGAAATTAAATACAATACTCTCATATCCAGAAATTTACGATATTTTACGACTCTCTTTTATGCGGGAGATCATATAACTTTTGTGATATTTTTAGTTGAACCAATTAGTCTAACTCTGCTACAAACCATCCAGTTATACCTAGGTATCTTATAATAATAAATTTGAATAAATTAAGTTAATCCGAGAGAATGATCATTAAGTCCCTGGGATTAGAATCGACACACAAAATAGAGAATTCGATTTGTGTTCGTACGGAATTAAAACAGAAAAAAATTATAAAATCAATCAGGAAACTTGATATTTCAGATGAAATATGAATTAGTAAGTTATATCTCTGAGAAAATATTAATTCGATAGCGATATCCAAGGATACTTAGCATATTTATGAAATATTCGAAATCATTTGCATATAGCGATCGTCTTCATGCAATACATAAAGTCTAGTATTAGCCAAATGTGTACTTCTGTCGTAATTAACGATCGTTGCTTGTTATATTGTTATAATAAATTTACAAAATTCAGAATTATATTGACTAATTATTACGAGATTACTTGAGCAAACTTGGCAGGGATATATTTATACGGCAACACTTTGATTAGTCAAATCTGTATTAAGTACCGTAATGTTTTTAAATATTTTAAAGACAAAACGAATCATTTTAGATCATATTTAACTCCGCAGAATAGCTACAAGGTCCCTACATTAACTAGAAATTATGTGTATGCATACTCTTTACTCTTCGCGCAAATTTTTATTTGTTTCCAGTTTTTCCAGACATCATCTTCCATATTAACTGCTCGTTTTTACTCTTTCCGTCCAGTGGGTACTAGGAGAGCCTTTCTTCTAGGATAATCTAGGCTGTGGATTCGGTCAGGTTCATAATAGGGCTGCCGGTGATGAGAGACGGACCTCGACATATCGGGACAGACCATCCCCAGAGTGAATTGCCACATTAAAGTTAAATACAGATAAACCCATCTCTGGTATTTGTTGTATTGAAGCGCCTTGATGGTGCTTCAGAATAGGGACTTCAGTACGACAAATACCAGAGATATATTCAATAAGTAAATAAATCAAATAATTAAACAATTAAAGCTGGTCAGTTTAGAAATTGTTAAAGTAGACACTTTAAATCAGACACTGTTCAGATATCGATCTTGATGGATGTTTACATTAAAGCAGTTATTAAATTGCCAAGACGATAACAAATGGACCCATTTCCAGTTTTGAACTGTAAGCATTTATTGTTACATAATCATTTATTAAAGTTAATTAGAAGCGTATTACTTTTCATATTGAGCTGAGAAATTCGGAGAATATTTCTGATGCGTGACTATTAATTAGATCCTTCTGGGAAAGTATAAAACGTGATACCATTAATAAAACACGCGAATATGCTACTGTTTTATTCGATAGATAAAAATAATTTTAAATAAACCAGCAACGAGTTTCTCAACTTTTCCGGCAACATTTAAAATTTTGGTTTCCATTAATAACTTTAATATAAAAAGTTTATAAGCTAATTTATTATACTTAAATATCATTAAATTGTAATGATTTAGTATTTAGTATCTACAACAGATGGCGCCATCTTAAATTCGAGTTACTTGAGAGTGATTCGTTTTAAATTGCGAGATGGTCACATAATTTCAATATTTCTCTTATACAATTAGACACTATAAAATGTCCCATAAGCAGAAATTTCGATTTGGTTCGATCTTTACTTACAGAATGTTCTAAAATTAATTAATTTAATTTTAATTATTAAATTTAATACAAGATGGCGACTTACTCGCTCATCTGTAGCCCAGATTACTTAATAGTTAGATATTTAACTAGCCAGAATATCGCCCAATGGAGCCGACGTTATTTGATTATCAATACATAATTCTGAGTTGGCTTACTGTATAAAATTTAACACAAGAAATTTAAGACAATAAAAATTAATATTTTAAATTTGGGACAATTTTGTAATTTGCTTCTTGTAAAAATAAAAAGTTATAACTTTTTTTTTTTACATTTTAAAAACTTTTTTCGCCGTGTAAACATTAAGACTATAGTTTTTAGCAAAATTATTATGGATTCGGCCAAGCCTACAATGAGGCAATCGTGTAATGAGGGGACAAGGCCCGACATTTAAGGTTGGATCATTGGATCACTCCCGAAAATTTCTGGCGATTTTCGACCCATCCGGACTTAATCCCGGATCACCCAGAGCGATAGGTTCTCATCTTACCACCTCGGTCATTGTTTATAATCTAAATCATGATCATTTTTAAATGAAAGAAGAGGAAGATGATAAAACAATTCTTTTCTTCTCGACCATTTACTTAACTTTTAATCAAATCTGGAATGGGTATGGCAAAGAACTTCGTCGTAACCCCCGACAAGTATCGATTTTCATAGTAATTTCTTTCGATATTCTACTTCTTAATTCTCTACAAAATCTGTCGGTAGACAGTGAAAAAAGATTCTTAACCAGTTTGGGAGGTAAAAATTAACTTGTCACTAATGGAAAAAGAGAAAAAAAAGAGTCTTTCCGATATGAAAGATTTCTTTGACGAATTTTGCTGGTGCAACTCTATATAAGGAGTCAGATATCTTTACGAACATCTTAGCCGATAATCTTCCTTTCTTATCTCTCCTTTCTTCATCAACAAGACAGGTATTGACTTTATATATTAGACTCCCTAGTATTAAATATCATATAGTTTCATAAAAGTTGTGTTATTGGCATCCAAGTATTGTACTTAACTGTAAGATGTACGCAACACGAAACTTACGTAGTGACCGTCATTTATCAGTTTTTTTTTCGCCAGTAAATAGTAAACTTTTTATATTATTTTTTAAATTGTGTTTTGAAGTTGATTGATGAATTATATAT